GTCGCCCCCTGCTGGCTGCTGGAGAGGACGCAAGTTTAAGTCGCCCCCTGCTGGCCGCTGGAGAGGACGCAGGTTTAAGTCGCCCCCTGCTGGCTGCTTGAGAGGACGCAGGTTTAAGTCGCCCCCTGCTGGCTGCTGGAGGGGACGCAGGTTTAAGTCGCCCCCTGCTGGCTGCTGGAGAGGACGCAGGTTTTAGTCGCCCCCTGCTGGCTGCTAGAGAGGACGCAGGTTTAAGGGACTCTGTATTCGCCTCAGTTCTCTGACCGGAAGCTCCCCGCTTGGTTTGTTCTGGTGTTTTTTCTAGAATCACTTACTCCACATTTATTGGCTTAATGAACACGCTACACTGTCTTTTTGGAGGTTCTCATGTTTTCTGTCCTGGTGCTGCTACAGAAGAAATTTGTCTCATAAAATAAAGTACGGCATTTCCATAAAGTTAGTGTAGTCCTGCTGTCATTATTCTTTCTGACATTAACTAAATCGGTAATGTTGTTCGACGACGTAAATACCTGTATTCTTGATTTAATTACATGTGCATGTGAAGAAATAGCCTAAATCATGCTTTCGAATTAATATATGATAATCTATTCAACAATAGTCGACATGTTTACTGGATGTCAAAGATAACACAGGCCAAATATAATAATACATCCACCTACGGGGCTGCCTGCAACTAACAATTATTTCCATAGTTGACTGAGCTGGCGATTATTTTCTTGATTAATCGTGTGTGAAATGTAAAAAATAATGTTAATTTCTCAGGTGATGTCTTCAGTTTGTTTGTTTTGTCTGACTAACTGTTCAAAATTTTAAGATGTCAATTTCCTGTCATTATATGGCAAAGACAAACACGTCGTCACATCTGAGAAGCTGGATTCAGATCCATTAATCATCATCAATAGTTGCCATATTTACTTTGCTTCAACAGCATTGTTTTATACAATTTCTGTGCACAGTTGTGTTTTATTAACTGGAGAGTACCATTTAGTACCAAAACTTTGACAGACTCCATAACAGACTGTGCATGTGTGATATCATCCCGTTTGGGTTTGGAAAAAAAAGCCTAAGGGGCAAGAGAACGTTGTAAAAACTGTAAAATCAATCAAGTTTTTCAGGTGATTGAATCAAGTTGGCTCTGTGGCTCCAGACAAGATCAATACTGAAAAGTAACAGAATCTATTTACACTCAAACTAGCATCTGTTCACGTTAGCTGCAACTGTAAGATTCCCAGAATGCCTCCAGCTCTTTGTTTACTTTGCAACATTCAAGTCAAAACAACAACAACAACAAGAGGAGGAGAAAATAATGCACGGGGACTTCAAATGAAGCCAGTTAGAACGCATGCCAGCATGCTGTCAAATACAAACGAGACAGAAGGAGGAGAAGGTTCAGTCTGCAAGATGAAGAGCACTTTGATTTATTCAGCCGTTTGATTGGACGGATTAACCCTTTAATCCGTCAGCCGGTCTGAACACAGTGAGCATCGGCCAATCAAAAGCGGAGTCCAGTATCAGGATCCAGGTGGTTCTGGACCCTTAAAGCCCATCAGCTTTGTTTTTGACGATGACCACCATGCATTTTAAATTTCATCTAGTTTGATCCGACTTGGTTTCTTAAGATGTCTCTATTGTCTTCTGAAAAACTGATCCATGTTTTTAGGCAGATTTGTTCCGGCTGTAAAGCTGTGAGTAAAGATGATGAGTAGCAAAAAAAGCGCAGATAAGTTGTCCAGGTGCTGATCCACGTCTGCAGCCAAGTACGCAGGATCACGACCATTTGTTCAGAGAACTTCTAGGGCTGGCTATCATTTTTTATGCCAGTATTGGGGTTTCTATACGGACATCAGTGGGAAATATCTGGAAAGTATCTGGTGGTGAGCACGAAATGGTGCACACAAAATACTTTCTGGTGCACATGAGATACTTTCTGGTGCACACAAAATACTTTCTGGTGCACACGAGATACTTTCTGGTGCACACAAAATACTTTCTGGTGCACACGAGATACTATCTGGTGCACATGAGATACTTTCTGGTGCACACGAGATACTATCTGGTGCACACAAAATACTTTCTGGTGCACACGAGATACTTTCTGGTGCACATTAAATACTTTCTGGTGCACATTAAATACTTTCTGGTGCACACAAGATGCTATCTGGTGCACATTAAATACTTTCTGGTGCACATTAAATACTTTCTGGTGCACACAAGATGCTATCTGGTGCACATTAAATACTTTCTGGTGCACATTAAATACTTTCTGGTGCACACGAGATGCTATCTGGTGCACATTAAATACTTTCTGGTGCACACGAGATGCTATCTGGTGCACATTAAATACTTTCTGGTGCACATTAAATACTTTCTGGTGCACACGAGATGCTATCTGGTGCACATTAAATACTTTCTGGTGCACATTAAATACTTTCTGGTGCACATTAAATACTTTCTGGTGCACACAAGATGCTATCTGGTGCACATTAAATTCTTTCTGGTGCACACAAGATGCTATCTGGTGCACATTAAATACTTTCTGGTGCACATTAAATACTTTCTGGTGCACACGAGATGCTATCTGGTGCACATTAAATACTTTCTGGTGCACACGAGATACTTTCTGGTTCACATTAAATACTTTCTGGTGCACATTAAATACTTTCTGGTGCACACAAGATGCTATATGGTGCACATTAAATACTTTCTGGTGCACATTAAATACTTTCTGGTGCACACGAGATGCTATCTGGTGCACATTAAATACTTTCTGGTGCACATTAAATACTTTCTGGTGCACACGAGATGCTATCTGGTGCACATTAAATACTTTCTGGTGCACACGAGATGCTATCTGGTGCACATTAAATACTTTCTGGTGCACACAAGATGCTATCTGGTGCACATTAAATACTTTCTGGTGCACATTAAATACTTTCTGGTGCACATTAAATACTTTCTGGTGCACACAAGATGCTATCTGGTGCACATTAAATACTTTCTGGTGCACACAAGATGCTATCTGGTGCACATTAAATACTTTCTGGTGCACATTAAATACTTTCTGGTGCACACGAGATACTTTCTGGTGCACATTAAATACTTTCTGGTGCACACGAGATGCTATCTGGTGCACATTAAATACTTTCTGGTGCACATTAAATACTTTCTGGTGCACACGAGATGCTATCTGGTGCACATTAAATACTTTCTGGTGCACACGAGATGCTATCTGGTGCACACGAGATGCTATCTGGTGCACATTAAATACTTTCTGGTGCACACGAGATGCTATCTGGTGCACATTAAATACTTTCTGGTGCACACGAGATGCTATCTGGTGCACATTAAATACTTTCTGGTGCACATTAAATACTTTCTGGTGCACACGAGATGCTATCTGGTGCACATTAAATACTTTCTGGTGCACACAAGATGCTATCTGGTGCACATTAAATACTTTCTGGTGCACATTAAATACTTTCTGGTGCACATTAAATACTTTCTGGTGCACACAAGATGCTATCTGGTGCACATTAAATACTTTCTGGTGCACACAAGATGCTATCTGGTGCACATTAAATACTTTCTGGTGCACATTAAATACTTTCTGGTGCACACGAGATACTTTCTGGTGCACATTAAATACTTTCTGGTGCACACGAGATGCTATCTGGTGCACATTAAATACTTTCTGGTGCACACAAAATACTTTCTGGTGCACACGAGATACTTTCTGGTGCACATTAAATACTTTCTGGTGCACATTAAATACTTTCTGGTGCACACAAGATGCTATCTGGTGCACATTAAATACTTTCTGGTGCACATTAAATACTTTCTGGTGCACACGAGATGCTATCTGGTGCACATTAAATACTTTCTGGTGCACATTAAATACTTTCTGGTGCACACGAGATGCTATCTGGTGCACATTAAATACTTTCTGGTGCACACGAGATGCTATCTGGTGCACATTAAATACTTTCTGGTGCACACGAGATGCTATCTGGTGCACATTAAATACTTTCTGGTGCACATTAAATACTTTCTGGTGCACATTAAATACTTTCTGGTGCCCAAAAGATACTATTTGGTGCAGTATTGGCTGCTTGTAAGGGCAGTCTCGTTCTTTCGGTCACTACCTAAAGCTTGTGAGCTGAGGTCAGGGGTTGGAACGTACCTTTCCATCTTCCACTCTTTTGTTAAATTAAATTACTGGATAGCAGCTTTCTGTTCCTGACAGTTTTTGACACTTTGGTACATTTCGGTCAGTACCAAAGATTAAGTCTGATACCCAGCCCTAGAAACCGTTGTTGCGTGTGTTGTGTGTATGTGTTTACGCATCAGCCACAGAGGGGTGAAGTAACCAAAGGACCAGGGTGCATTGTGCTCATTACAGCCCAGACATACGCATCAGAATATGCTTTGACAAACCTGCGTACCTGTTCAGGCGTCCTAGTTTCAGCCTGTTAACAGCTGATGTTCCTCAGAGTCACAAACGTGCAACATTTCAATTAAGAAGCAACTACAAAGTCCCTTATTTTCAACCAGTAGACAGCGTAACTTTCTCTGTGCAGGTGCTCCCAGGAGGGCGTCGTGTACCCATAATCCTCTGGTGCAGATCAGGCACCTTTTCAGTGACAAGCAGAGATGCTGCTGGATTTCTTTGCTCGATACTTAGCAATAGTCTCAATTTCGAAAATTCCAGCTAGCTTGCGAGTTATCATTAAAATGGCGTCCTGATCCTCGTGCCCGTGGAGCTTTTGTTCTCTTTGTCGTCAGCGAGCAGGAGAACGAAGCTCCACGAGAAGCTCCGATCCACTTTTGGCCAAATAAACCACGGTTCCTGTTCCTCTCCCGTCCTGTTAAGAAGATTGCTGCTCTGTTACCACAAAGTCCGTCTCGTCTTAACGCTCCTGCTCAGATGGCACGCTGAGATTTGACCGGACTCTCCCGGGCTTCAGCGGTGGTTTTGAGGCGAGCAGATCCGTCACCTCCGATCACACCTGGCAGATGTTGTAGTAGACGGTGTGCGCGTGCTTCTCGCCCGGTGAGTCGAACATGCAGTCTTTGTGCGTGTGGATCTCCGTCATTGGCACGTCTACGCTGTGGGAGTTGTTGTGAGGAGTCTGAGTGCCGTAAGACGGTACATTCTGCAGAGGAAACACACAAAGACACAATAAAAACACTGTACGGCCGTTAACCATGCTGTAATTTATAATGCTTTGGGGGATGGGCGTCTTTTTTTCCTGTGATTTCTAAGAAGATTACTGGATTTTTATTCAGCAAGAATATCAGAGATGTTATATCCACGGAAAGTTTAAATCACACCGAATCCAAAAATACGTGTATGATGTCTGATAGTTCAGATTTGACTGAGTTGCAAACAGTGTTGGGAAGGTTACTTTGGAAATAAATAGGTTACCAATTACAAGTTACCCTATTAGAAACGTAATAGTAGTTGAACTGTTTCAATTACTTTATCAAAGCGTAGTAACTTAATTACATTTAATTACTTTTGGCCTACTTTTCTAAATTTGTAATGAATATTCTCAATTGTTTGTTTAAAACGGGCGGAGAACCAATCAGAACAGTATCAAACTTTAGTAAGCACTAAGTGTGCTCATGAAAAACATGCAAAGCAACAAAATGAATATTATTCAACATAAAGCCGAGATTTTTACAGATATATTCAGATGTTACCCCCCCAATGTGATCATGAACATTTTCATAAGTAACTGTAATTTAATTACACATTTTTACCCAGTAACTGTTGCAGATTACATTTATTTTATAACTGAATTACATGTAACTAGTTACTCACCAATACTGGTCATAACTCCCAGAAGGACTGCTATGGTGGAGTGTTTTAACATCCCCAGTGGGCTGTGTCACAGTTACTGTACTGCAGTCTGCAGCAGCGAAACCGGGCTGCGATCTAATCTTTATGGGCAATTGCTCCCCGTCAAAGTCCGTCCACTGAAGAACTTGTTTTTGCAGCTGACAGGCTGAAGTGTGTGACAGCATTATGGAACGGATCGCTTCGAGAGAAACCTTTTTTTAAGAATAAAATAATTTTTGCTTAACCAGAAACAGTCCCTATATCGCTCTCATCAAAGCCATTGATAAAAACAGTCATTTCACATTAACAGGAGTTGCTGGTCTACTGCTGCCCTCGTTGCTTAGATTGTTTGCATTATTGTGTGACTTTGGTGTTTTTAAAGGGTTAAAAACACCAAAGTCACATAACTGATGGAGGCAGTGGTAGATCAGAGAGGTAAAATTACTATATTTGTCAAGGGAGTCTGGTGGCTTTTACGAGAGTGATATAGCGACTGTTTCTGGTTAAACAGAAAGGATCTTACTCTTAAATAAGAGCGATCCGTTCCATAAAGCTGTCAGACACTTGTAATAACAAGCTGAGCGTGTCGGGCTGTCAGCTACTGTGATGGTGAGTGATTGTAAGTGATTTTAGAAATAATTCTGTTAAACTAACTAAAGTATTTCTCAGTTGGATATTAATGGACTTTTCTGCCCGGCAACAGGGAGCGCTGCAGAGGGCTTGACAAAGACTCGAGCTGACAGTCAGAGCTTTAATCTCTTGTGTTTGTTGGTCTGACCTCAGCAAAGTCTGCTGTAATCTAATCTAACACACAGGCATTAAGGAAGTCACAGCTCACAGGTGTAATGGAAAGGTTAATTTAGTTAATTTATTCTAACATTTTACAGTAACTTTCCTCCATGGAAGCCAGTTTCTGATGGGAAATAAATTTAAAGTAATAAATGACAAAAATCAGAACACTAATGGGAAGTGTATATTTATTATTATATTATATTATTATATATACTATAATGAATGCTATATTACTCTTTAACAGCAATATTATGAGACAGACATGTTTTAAAAGCCAACACTGACAAGTCAAAACATTTATCAGAGTCAAAATTACAGACTGTGTTTTTACTTTTCCTGCTTCACTGAGGGGGAAATCTTTCCGACAGAGGTGGCCGATGATTCCCGCCGCCAGAGCGTCGCCCAGAACGTTGATCATGGTCCGAAACCTGTCGCTGCAGACACGGGGGGGGAGGAGGATACATGTGAAACCAAAATATATATAATATATGGAGTATTTTATACTCACATCCTTATTACCATGTGATGCTACTACACAGCTGGAGTTACACGTTACTTTGCAGATTCAGACATTAAACACAAAACTTGTGATTACTGAATTAATTATTGTTATTTATTTGACCACCGGCAGAATATAAAACAGACAGTGGTGGGCAGTAATTAAGTACATTTACTAAAGTACTGTACTTCAGCACACATTTGAGGTATTTGTACTTTACTTGAGTATTTACTTTTCATGCCACTTTCTACTTCTGCTCCACCTCAGAGGGAGATCTTGTACTTTTTACTGACAGCTTCAGTTTCTTTGCAAAGTCAGAGTTTATAAAATATGATGTTTAGTTATAAATTAAAACTATTAGAGAATATTTTATACAAGTACAGCTGGTACATTTATCAGATTGACATTTATATTAACCGACAACAACTTTTACATTTACATTTTTCATGTAAAAACATCTGATGGTTCCACAGACGTGAAGATTTGCTGCTTTTCCTTTGAATTTATTTGTAATAATGTTGATCTTTGTGCCGTTGGTCGGACAAAACAAAGCACTGTGAGGGCGTCACTTTGGGCTCAATTCATGGGCTCGAAATTGATTAATGGAGAAAATATTCAGCTGACTGATCCAGACTGAAAATAATCAGCTCAGCTGCACTCTGATATTAAAGAGTTAAAATGAGCTCAACAACTACAGCAGCAACATCCTGCTTTACAATAATGATGAGGAATAACAATAAACTTATATATAATAGTACAACAGTCACAGGACATTGAGTACTTTTATTTTTAATACTTTAAGTACATTTTTCTGATTACACTTGCTGCTGTTTTTTTTTTTAATAATGTATACTAATAGTACTTTTTACTTTTGATACGTGTATATGTTTAAAAGCAGGTACTTTTGCACATTGACTCAAGTACAAATTTAAGTTAAAGACTTATATGAAGGAAAGGTATCTCTACTTTTACTTTAATAGGCTACTTAAAGTTCATTTTCCTGATTATACTTGCATACTGTTACTTTAGTAAAGTTTTCAATGCAGTACTTTTGCTTGTAACAGTGTATTTTTACAGTGTGGTATTAGCACTTTTACTGAAGTAAAGGATCTGAATACTTCGTCCTCCACTGCACACACACAAAAATATAACTGAGTAAGTTCAATTTTTATTGGAAGCAGTTTATAATTACAGTGTTTAATAAATAGCACAGTTTGCCTGCTGTATTTATAAATTCGGTTTGTCATGTCAGTAACAGCTGACACACAGAACCGTACTTTTTACTTTTGATATTTGTATATTTTTAAAAGCAGGTACTTTTGTACTTTGAATATTTAGCAAAGGTATCTGTACTTTTACCCAAGTACAGGATCTGTGTACTGGAAACAGGGAGCTCCATGTTAACGCGCCACAACATTAAAGTGTAAATAATACTAAGACCTTTCTGCATTACGAGCGCTGTAACTTACAGGATCCAGTCGATGGCCACGATGAGTGTGATGTCATCTGGCGGCAGGCCCACGGATGTCAGTACGATCACCATGGTAACCAGACCGGCCTGAGGAATCCCCGCTGCACCGATGCTAGCGGCTGTGGCTGTGATGCTGCCGGACAGACAGAAGAATAATTTAATTTATTTAGAGCTGATGGCAGGCTTGTTGTCTTTGACCCAGGTAAAATAAACCTGACCCCGAAACCAAAGCAGACTGAGTTTGAATGTGAAGGTCTGATCCTGAATAATAATAATTTTCTATCTTATACTGGCTCTTCATTTCAGCCTCTGTCTGAAACAAGCTGTAGATGCTCCTGTCTCTTGTTTAACATGAACATCTGACATTGTAACATTATAGAAATGCCAGAAAATGTGAAAAACCATAATTGGTCCCCTTTAAATTCATTCTTTTGACACTGTTAAAGAAAGTTCTGTCTGAGGGCGCTTCTTCAAATGAGCATGTTAAAATCTTCTTATGGTGCTCAGTAGAGCTGCAACAATTAGTCGATTATTCGATTAGTCGGTTGAAAGAAAATTAATCGACAACTATTTTGATAATCGATTAATCGTTTCAGGCATTTATTAATCGAAAATGTGAAAAATGATCTTGATCTTGTTAAATTGAGGAATTGCTGCTATTCTTTGTCATTTATGATAGTAAAGTCTTTGGGTTTTGGACTGTTGGTTGGACCAAAGAAGCAATTTCTTGACATTTTATAGATTTAACGATTAGTCGATTAATCGTGAAAATTGTTGGCAGATTAGTCAATAATGAAAATTAGTTGCAGCCCTAGTGCTCAGGTAACCTGGCCAGTTGGTTTTGTGCATATTAATAGTGGGGATGAAGAATACTGTAACAGGACATTTTATGAGATGTTCCCAGTTTAGGATGTTTTATGGGTATTTCAGATTTTCAGTTGGTCCAGTATCGAGCGAGCGCTGCAGTCGGCTCAGCTTGTTGTTACAAGTCTTTGACAGCATTATGGAAAGGATCCCTACACAGAGAGAGACCTTTTGTTAAGGAGGAAGACCCTGTTTGTTTAACCAGAAGCAGTTACCATAGCGCTCTTGTCAAAGTCACCAGACTCCATTGATAAAAACAGTCATTTTACTCTGCAGATCACGGGAGTTGCTGGTTCAGCACTGCTTCACTCGGTTTGTTTGTTTCTGTTATTGTGTGACTTTGTGTTTTTAAAGGGTTAAAAACACAAAAGTCACACCATAACACAAATTAACCGACGGAGGCAGCGGTGAACCAGAGAGGTAAAAGTACTATTTTTGTGAAGGGAGTCTGGTGGCTTTGACAAGAGCGATATAGTAACTGTGCCTGGTTAAAAAAAAAAGATCTTACTGTTTAAAAAATCTCTCTCTCTGCAGGGATCCTTTCTATAATGACACTTGTAATAACAGTCTGAGCCTGTCAGCGGCAAAAAACAGGCTCTTTGACAGGGTGCAATCTGACAGACATTTGTTTTGTTACCCTTTGGATAAGATTCTTTCCGTTTGAGAAAAAGTTTGACATTTTGTTTGTCCTGTCGCTCAAAACCTCCCGACTTGTCTTAGAGACAGTCTCAGCATGTCTGTGCTGGTTTACCTGATGGTGACCAACTGGCCGAAGTCCAGCTCGTAGTCATTAACCTGAGCGATAAAGATGGCCGCCACGGCCTCGTACAGCGCTGTGCCGTCCATGTTGATGGTGGCGCCCACAGGGAGGACGAACCGCGCGATCTGCCGGTCGACGTGGCAGTTTTCCAACAAACACTTCATGGTGATGGGCAGAGTGGCAGAGCTGAGGAGGAAGGGCGTCAAATTAAACCTTAGTGACAACCTGAACACACCCACAGACCAGCAGGTTAACCGAGGACGGTCCTGGACTCTGACCTGGAGGAGGTGGCCAGGGCGATCACCATGGCCTGCAGCAGCCCGCGGATGTAGGAGAAGGGGTTCTTCCTGGTTAGGATGAAGTAGAAGAAAGGGAGGAGGATGAGTCCGTGGACGAAGAGCCCGGCGAGCACCGTGATGCCGTACCAGCCCAGCTTCCTCCCCAGCGTGCTCGGGTCCTGCATGTCCAGGATCTTCCCCGCCACCAGAAAGATGATCCCAAACGGAAAGTACCTGAGAGGACGGAACAAAACGACATCCTGATGATTCGCGTGAGGCTCACCGGTCGTGGAGCTAAACATGTGAGGTCTGTCCCGAGGGCGGCGCTGGAGGAAGATCACAGAGTCGATCCTCCGGGGATCAGGAATATCCACCCCAGATATAATAGAAATCCAGCCAGATAGTTTGTCAAGGACCAGGTCAGGGGATGATTTTAGCCTGATAGGGACACTAGAGGACATTGCAGATAAAAGCTAAAGGGTTAAACCTGCCCCTGAAAACAAGGGCTGACCCTGAATAGCTGCAGATTCGATGCTTCGATAGGCGGAGCCTGATTCGACTGTCAAACTCACAGTCGAAGCTTCGCGCTCAACGTCTGATTTCACACAGAACTACCAGTTTTCTCCCAATAAGTTAATATACAGCCTGTTACAATAAACATTTCAACGTTTAATGCTGTAAATAAACTTTAAACTTTCAATAAATGTTTTTAAAGTGCGTGAATAAATCCATAATTGTAACCATAACCCCGGGGCGTCACGTGTAGGCAGCGGAAGAGGAACACTTGCTGAAGAGACGGAGCTCCAGCTTCACTGGGGATAATTTATCACGGTTGATGAACCACACAAAGAAAATGATATCGGTTTTAAACAGCAGGCTACTTGAAATAGACCCACGAGGAACCGCGACGTGCGCTCAGCTGTCGGCAAAAACTCTGCACAAGACCGGTGAATGACAGGCGAGAGGCGCCGCACACACAAAAACACACGCGACTACAGGCAGGACGTGACGGTTCCGATTGGACTATGTAAATCCTTAGTCGGGACAGCCGGACTGAAAACCTCTGGGTACTATCAGAAAACCTCTGGGTACTATCAGAAAACCTCTGGGTACTATCAGAAAACCTCTGGGTACTATCTGAAAACCTCTGGGTACTATCTGAAAACCTCTGGGTACTATCAGAAAACCTCTGGGTACTATCTGAAAACCTCTGGGTACTATCTGAAAACCTCTGGGTACTATCTGAAAACCTCTGGGTACTATCAGAAAACCTCTGGGTACTATCAGAAAACCTCTAGGTACTATCTGAAAACCTCTGGGTACTATCTGAAAACCTCTAGGTACTATCAGAAAACCTCTGGGTACTATCAGAAAACCTCTGGGTACTATCAGAAAACCTCTAGGTACTATCTGAAAACCTCTGGGTACTATCTGAAAACCTCTAGGTACTATCAGAAAACCTCTGGGTACTATCAGAAAACCTCTGGGTACTATCTGAAAACCTCTGGGTACTATCAGAAAACCTCTGGGTACTATCAGAAAACCTCTAGGTACTATCTGAAAACCTCTGGGTACTATCTGAAAACCTCTAGGTACTATCAGAAAACCTCTGGGTACTATCAGAAAACCTCTGGGTACTATCAGAAAACCTCTAGGTACTATCTGAAAACCTCTGGGTACTATCTGAAAACCTCTAGGTACTATCAGAAAACCTCTGGGTACTATCAGAAAACCTCTGGGTACTATCTGAAAACCTCTGGGTACTATCAGAAAACCTCTGGGTACTATCAGAAAACCTCTGGGTACTATCTGAAAACCTCTGGGTACTATCAGAAAACCTCTGGGTACTATCTGAAAACCTCTGGGTACTATCAGAAAACCTCTAGGTACTATCAGAAAACCTCTGGGTACTATCTGAAAACCTCTGGCTACTATCTGAAAACCTCTGGGTACTATCAGAAAACCTCTGGGTACTATCTGAAAACCTCTGGGTACTATCTGAAAACCTCTGGGTACTATCAGAAAACCTCTAGGTACTATCAGAAAACCTCTAGGTACTATCTGAAAACCTCTGGGTACTATCAGAAAACCTCTGGGTACTATCAGAAAACCTCTAGGTACTATCAGAAAACCTCTGGGTACTATCAGAAAACCTCTAGGTACTATCTGAAAACCTCTGGGTACTATCAGAAAACCTCCACAGGACAACATGTCTGCTGTTAAAGAGGCCAGTGTACTGTAGCGTGTACTGTGTGTACTGTAGCATGTACTGTGTGTACTGTAGCATGTACTGTGTGTACTGTAGCGTGTACTGTGTGTACTGTAGCGTGTACTGTGTGTACTGTAGCATGTACTGTAGCATGTACTGTGTGTACTGTGTGTACTGTAGCATGTACTGTGTGTACTGTAGCATGTACTGTGTGTACTGTGTGTACTGTAGCATGTACTGTGTGTACTGTGGAATGTACTGTGTGTACTGTGTGTACTGTAGCATGTACTGTGTGTACTGTGTGTACTGTGTGTACTGTAGCATGTACTGTGTGTACTGTAGCATGTAATGTGTGTACTGTAGCGTGTACTGTAGCGTGTACTGTAGCATGTACTGTGTGTACTGTGTGTACTGTAGCATGTACTGTGTGTACTGTGTGTACTGTGTGTACTGTATCATGTACTGTGTGTACTGTAGCATGTACTGTGTGTACTGTAGCATGTACTGTAGCATGTACTGTGTGTACTGTAGCATGTACTGTGTGTACTGTGTGTACTGTAGCATGTACTGTGTGTACTGTAGCATGTACTGTAGCATGTACTGTGTGTACTGTAGCATGTACTGTGTGTACTGTGTGTACTGTAGCATGTACTGTGTGTACTGTCTGTACTGTGTATACTGTAGCATGTACTGTGTGTACTGTAGCATGTACTGTGTGTACTGTAGCATGTACTGTGTGTACTGTGTGTACTGTAGCATGTACTGTGTGTACTGTGTGTACTGTAGCATGTACTGTGTGTACTGTGTGTACTGTGTGTACTGTATCATGTACTGTGTGTACTGTAGCATGTACTGTGTGTACTGTAGCATGTACTGTAGCATGTACTGTGTGTACTCTAGCATGTACTGTGTGTACTGTAGCATGTACTGTAGCATGTACTGTGTGTACTGTAGCATGTACTGTGTGTACTGTAGCATGTACTGTGTGTACTGTGTGTACTGTGTGTACTGTAGCATGTACTGTGTGTACTGTCTGTACTGTGTATACTGTAGCATGTACTGTGTGTACTGTAGCATGTACTGTGTGTACTGTAGCATGTACTGTGTGTACTGTGTGTACTGTAGCATGTACTGTGTGTACTGTGTGTACTGTGTGTACTGTAGCATGTACTGTGTGTACTGTAGCGTGTACTGTGTGTACTGTGTGTACTGTAGCGTGTACTGTGTGTACTGTGTGTACTGTGTGTACTGTGTGTACTGTAGCATGTACTGTGTGTACTGTAGTGTGTACTGTAGCGTGTACTGTGTGTACTGTGTGTACTGTGTGTACTGTGTGTACTGTAGCATGTACTGTGTGTACTGTAGTGTGTACTGTAGCATGTACTGTGTGTACTGTGTGTACTGTAGCATGTACTGTGTGTACTGTGTGTACTGTGTGTACTGTAGCATGTACTGTGTGTACTGTAGCGTGTACTGTGTGTACTGTGTGTACTGTAGCGTGTACTGTGTGTACTGTGTGTACTGTGTGTACTGTGTGTACTGTAGCATGTACTGTGTGTACTGTAGTGTGTACTGTAGCGTGTACTGTGTGTACTGTGTGTTCTTCTCACCAGACGGCAGCGTTGATGATCTTCATTACGCACTCGTTGATACACTGACAGACGTTGACCAGTGGAGCTCCTCGCTCTCCCATTCTGCCCAGCAACAGGCCTACAACAACACAGCTATTATTATTATTATTATTATTATAAGAATAATCAGAAAACGCCACTGTGGTTTGTTCAGGGGGAGGAATGGGAGGGATTATGGGTAGAAGAAGTTATACCTGTTCACAAAAGAGTGAACTACAGAAACTGCAGACGTCTGATCTGTTTAACAACCAGCTCAATTTAGAAGACGGCGTTTCTTATAAAAACCTCAGGACGCAATAAGCGTGCGGCGTTCTGCTCACCCATGGTGGCGGAGAAGATGACGATGCCGAGGACGTTCATCTGCTGGCTGCTGCCGGGACTCGTCTTGTACATGATCTCCGGGGGCGGCGTCAGCTCCAGGTACACCGTGCGACCTTCGGGGCCGCTCTCGTGGGGGACCACGTACACGAAGTTTGGCTGGATGGTTCTGGTCGGGACTTTGAGGATGGGAACCAGGTCCGTTTTGTACTGCAGAAACACAGAGTCGGGTTTGTTACAGGAAGTTCTGAGACGATTTGAAAAAGTGCTAAACTTTCTCCGCGTGAATCGTCTCACCTGCTGAAACGTGGCCTCGATTATATTAGAGGGAACCATGTTCCTGTGGAGGCAAAGAGAAGACGCGTGATTCAAAATGACGAGAACACAAAGCTGCGATGTTCAAATATTTGAGCCTGAGTTTAAGATAAAAGCAGAATAATAAATGTTATGATCAACGGCATCAAAACCCTAAAACAGATCAATAAAACAAATGATTCCAGACCAGCAGCTGCCCGATGGAAAAGGACGCACTTCCTCTTCTAACAAGACCAGGACCATGAATAATTTGTTCCACGGTTCTGAGAGGAGACGGCCTCAATAAAACTTCTCAGCTGGACACTTGTGAATAATTTGGTGATTTTTGGGCACAGTTTGGTGGACAAGAGGATAAGATTTGATTGATCCCACATAGGAGAAATTCACTTGTTACGGCAGCTCCAGATACAAGAATACACAACAGATGCAAAAGCACAGAAAGACACAATATACTGTAAGAAAATAAGAGAAACAGTTGTAAATAAAGATCAAATATAAATATATAGATATTACAGCTGCAACGATTATTCGATTAGTCGGTCGAAAGAAAATTAATTGACAACAATTTTGATAATAAAGTAAAAATGTGAAAAATTTGCTGGTTTTATCTTGTTAATTTGAGGAATTGCTGCTATATTTTCTGTCATTTAAAGTCTTGACATTTTATAGACTTACCGATTAGTTGATTAATCATGGAAAAAGTCGGCAGATAGTCGATAATGAAAATAATCGTTGCAGCCCTAATGTATCTATCTATTGATCTATATATATATATATATATATATATATATATATATACACACACACACACACACACACACACACACACATATATAGTCGTGTGTTTGTGTGATTTACTGATTCCTTTTACTGATAGAGCTGCAACTACCAGTCGATTAATCAATAATCAATACGTAAAACATTTTAAAATGATTTCAAATGACTTTCCTCTAAACATCGTGGTAAATTAATTATTATTTTGATTTTGGACAAAATGAAACTTAATGACATTTTCTGATGTTATTTTGACAAAGCGATTAATTGATTAATTGAGAATATAATCAGCAGATTCATTGATTATGAGGATTATTGTACTTTTAGTTTAATCTGACACAAGATGTAAAAAAAAAAAAAAGGTTTTGTGTAATTTGGGGATCTTTTGACGGGTTTGGTGTGATATCAAGTCGCTCATGATAATCCCAGTACAATCACTGATGTGAAATAAATATATAACCTAATATATTCATGACATTTTGATGTATTAATGTTGTGACAACAGAAACAGGTACAGGTTGCTGCCACAGTGAAGAAGTAGTCGTGTAAATGACGTGTAAATGTTTAGTTTACTACAGTAAAGTACATTTAATGAAGTACAAAACAATCTGAGCTTTCATGTCACGCTGTAACATTTATTTAGTTACTAACAACTTAACAAATCAAGATTTAACATTAAAAATGTACGTTAAACTTTAATTCAGAGCATGGTTATATATTAAACCAGTGGCTCGCGGGCCTTTCAGCGCGTGCACGTGATCCAGCACGTCCGACGTGACGCCGGACGGCAGGAAGGTAAACGCCGGTGAATCAGGAGGGAAAACATTTGAGATCACTCGACCTTCACCAGGAAGGTCAGAGGTCAACGGGATGATGATGCGTTCGACCTGCTCGTGAGCTGGGTCTGCCAACGTGCTGCAGCAGAGATCATTGATGGCACCGCCGCTGACTCAGTTAATCTGTCACTTATCCCTGCAGGATTACTAAAAATACACCGATCAGCCCGGTCTGTAACTGGATTAATGTGTGTTTGTGTGTTTTCTACTACTTGTTGTTGATCTAAGTGTTGTTCGGCCGCTCCGGTCTGTCAGTCACCGAGTTTCTACAAACTGATCTGTTCACAGAGCAACTGCACTTTTATTAGCCGACCTTTTATTAAAACGACCTGTGTGTTACGTATAACTGATCTTAAAGCCTTGAGTCGAATGTAAACAACTATTAACACAAATTCAAGAAATCCCCGTGAATTCAGAGCAACTTGCAAATTTGACGGATCGCTGCAACTTCTCTGGAAATTTGCAACATGCTGTCACGCCTCAGCAAACTCAAACTTTTAGACGACGCAGCAGCACACGTGCGACACCAATAACTTCAGCAAAGCGGGGAAGCTGTTCTGCAGAACGTGCAGCGTTGTGGTCGAACATAAAGGAAACACTTTGAGAGAGAACGTCAGAAAAACATGGAGGAGGTCAGAGAGACACTGAGACACAGGCTGCTGCATCCGATCAGCTGCAGGACAGAATCAGCTGGTTTAAATATGCGGGGTCAGGCCCGGATATACTTGCTTTTAACTACGCGTTTGGGTCTGCAAGATGGCGTCCGTGCGTTCCTTTGGAGCGTAGGTTGTGCACGTCTGCAGAAATTAACGCTACGCGCAAACTCCTGCTCCAAACACCAGCCAGGTGGTGGCGATATGCAGTGGGTTTGCCAACCGCCGTTAAACACAAAAGAAGAAGAAGGTCAGATTTAAGAAAGATTTATGGCGGGTTGTTTAGAATAAAACTCCTGGAGCTAGTCCGCAATTACTGAGATCGTTATGACGTCTCATTAAAACCACAACCTGCTCCAGTGTCGCCGTGTTTAGTTTGTTTACAATGTGCACATTCGAGAGATGATCCGGTCCTAGTGGATTCAGGTTAAATCCTCCAGGTACACGCAAAGTACGCAGGCAAGTATGTGAACAACGTCGTTCGCTTCGCCGACACCTGTCTACGCCTACACATTGTTGAAAAGTAAGTATGTCAGGCGCTTTAGGGTTAGGCCCTTAACAACTATATTTCTAAAGTTTAAAATCCACCTTTGCTGTTTTCACTTGTTCCCACAATTTAATAGCAAAAAAGAACATTTCAACTTTCATCATTATTTTTTAGAAAAGCTGCTGCAAAATCTGAAAAAAGGCCCTTGAAAGCCTGGAGGGACTGATTAAAGATGATTAAAGTTAAGATTTATTTAACTTTTACTTCTTTTGACAGCGATTCATTATTTGTATTTTTAGTGTTTTCTTTATTCACAACTAAACATTACCTTAATTATCAACTTATCTGCCAACAATTTTATTAATAAATTCATTGTTTTGTCTGTAAACTGTCAAAATTTATCATTTATTTATTTCTGTAAAGCTGATGTCTTCAAATGTCCTGTTTTTTATTTCCAACAGTCCAAAACTCGGGTCACTGAGAGGCCGACTCCGAGAATGATTGACAGTTTGTGGCTGATAATTCACTTAAATGATCAACGACCCCCCCCCCCCCCCCCCCCGACACTGAGTTACGTGGAAGCACGTGAAAGCCATGAGTCCTGAGTTCTTTCCAACGGTATTGATGATAACTCTCTTATTAAAAAAATTAAATACTGATATTGTGTTGTAATAATAAAAAATAAAACACACCAATGCTGTTGACACAATGTACAGATAACCTGCAACCCCTGCTGGAGCAAGAGAACTACACAACGATCATATACGATATTTAATGTTTAATTAGGCTCAAAACTCATGTTAGGTCTAATTTTCGGGACAAACCGGAAAGGGGTCGGGACAACTGCTCGTAATTCGGGACTGTCCCGGATTTTTCGGGATGTCTGGTCATCCTACCACCGTGAAAAGAGTAGCGTTATTTCCTGTTGCTGGAGTTTATAGGTGTTATTCACTCTGGGGACCCTGGGGACATTGTCCCCACCACTTTTTGAAATGGCTGATTTTGTCCCCACCACTTTTTTAAAGCACACTTTGTTTAAAAACATTCTGAAATATAGCTTGCAGTTAACTAACAAATGAAAATGCCTTTAGAAAGGTTTGTTTACACATTAAGAAAACAGGCAATGCAATTAAAATGTAGAAGAAGCAAAAGTGCACTGTCCAAAAAAAGGAACTTAAGCAAAAAAACACCCAAAAAACAAGCGCTGATTATAAAACAACCTAAAAACGATCAGTAACTTTAACAAGCTGTTGACACAGTTTCTTTTTTTCCGTTCTCTCCCTGTGAACATGACAAAAGAGGAGGGACGACTAAATCGTGCCTGCATGTGTGCTGCCTCAGCAGGGACGATTAGCTCGGCACTGAGGATATCTTTAAAACACTGTCTAAGCATCTTTTAGTCTCGTTCTGGTGAACCTAATATCGCGTATCGTGAAGTGTCTCTTCACACCCCTGATCTGAGCCCCTGTGTCCCCACCGCTTTTCAACACAAAGTGACGCCCTTGCTGGAGTTCAGTGGTTGAGATTGTAGAGAAGGTGCAAACTACAGGTCTTAATAAGACGGGAGCTCTTCTGAAAACATGATCTGTGAAATTTTAGAGGGTCTCTAAAATATTTTGACCTGCATTTCTATTTTTCTGCATCTTTATCACCATGGATGGACCACGATTTCCATGCCTGATCAGAGAGGCTGCTGTCAGTGCATCCTGACCGAACCTGTGCCGGAGATTTAAATAATCAATAAAGTTATGATGCCGTACCTCATGTGTAAATGTGCACAGTGGAACATCTTCCCACCTGAATAATGCGCTCATTAAACTGCAGTGAAAGGTAGTCAGGTCAAAAGTAGTGAAAAGCATTGTAATTCAGAGACAGTAATATAATTAATTACTCTAAAATGACAGTAACTAATAATCTATGATGTATTACATTTTGGAAGCAACACTGAGCATGACGCACAGCAAGCAAAACCTCCAACCAATAACATCGTCTCCAATTTAAACTTTAACCTCAACACCGCCTGCTGCCTTCAACCTTTACCAGAAGTGCGCTCTGAGCTGCTGAGCTGTGCACCGTCACGCACATCGCAGTCATCAATATCCAGCCTGTATCCTTACTTACATTCCCCCCAAAACAAACTCACAGGTTTCATTTGAAGGCAGCATCTTTTCAAAATGACAGAGGAAGATATTCAGCGTCTGATGCGCTGAGGCGGGCTGTCCTGGCTCCAGAGAGTCCCCCATCTGATACTTTATGGCCTCTGAACATCCACCTTTAAGCTGACCTCTCTCACCTGATGAGGTCGAGCAGGGCGTCGGCCGAGGTCATGACGGGCCCCGCTCCCAGCCGGTGACTCTCCATCTCCGTCCCCACGCCGGGTTTGATGATGAGGACGAGCACGATGCCGACGACCACGGCGATGAAGGTGGTCCACAGGTAGTAGGTGACGGTCAGGACGCCGATACGACAGCACGCCTTCGACTCCATCGACGACAGACCCGACATCAAACTGCACACAGGACAAACGGACAGAATGCGTTTAGCCTAGCTTAGCATAAGGACAGGAAGCGAGGGGAGACAGCTAGTGTAACATGTTTGTTAGGTTTCAAGTTCAGTTTGATGAAAATCACCTCGGCGAGACTCAAAACAGAAAGAAAGACAGCATTTTTTTTCTTTACTGTCTAATGCTAATTAGCAAATGCTAGCATGCTAACTAAGATGGTGAACATCATAAACATTATACCTGCTAAAAAGGATGTTAGCATTTAGCTCAAAGCACCACAGTACAGCTGCTAGCATGACTGAAACTCTTGTTCAAACTTTCAAACTCTTGAAACTCTTCAGCTCTGGTGGGAGGTTCATTCAGATGAAGCAGCTTGTTGGTATTTTGGTGGAAAATGTTTTGAGCTGACGTCTGTTTCTGGTGCAGCGTCCCTCTGCTGCCACTTTAGTAGTTTTACTTACAAAAGCTAAACTAAAAACTTGCAGCAAATGTGTAGAAATCACAGAATAATCTTAAAATGTAAATTTTAAAATAATTTTAATTAAACACTCTCCAATGTTATCGTGACAAAAAAAATTTAAACCATTCGATATCGATAATTATCACGATAAAGGTACAATCTTTATTTCTTTCAAGTTTAGAGGCTGATTTTTGCTCCTGAGTGAAAACTTGAAGAAACCAGATAGTTAATTGTGGTTGAACGTGACAAACACTTGCTTCTAAAAAGTGGATCACTTCACAAATCTGAGGTAGAACATTCAAATTATAACAAAAAGTAAATCTTTTTTCAGCCCCTTTTCCTCAACATAATAAATGTCTTAATAGAAAAATGAAGTGCTAATTTGTTTGTGATTTAAATTAAATAAATCAAACATTTATTGACTTATATTGTTATTGAGAAATATTATATTGTGATAATTATCATTATTGGTTTCTTGCCCAGCCCTACTCTCCAACCAATAGATGTGATTAAAGCGACACTATGTAGTAATTTTATCATGTAATTTGGAGAATGACGTCTTTTATCATGTCTGGCACTACGTAGGATTGAATTTCAGGGCAGGATCGCGAGAACAGCGTTGCTGCTTTATAACCTCACAACACTTAACGACACTCTTCAGCGAGCTATAAGAGGAAGCAACAAGGATAAAATGTACAGTGTGAGTTCTCTGGAAGAAGCTAGCTGTGTGTTCTCAGTATGGATATCAGAGGCTGCAAAGAGACTGAAGAAGATGTCGGAGGAAGACAGGAAGAAAAAAAAAAGGGAGAGACTGAGCGAGAGACCGGAGAAGAGTAAATCTGGGACTGGGGCTGAGCAGCCTCTATGGACGTAACGTTAACTAAAATCAGAGGCCAAGAGACCGAAGAGGACGCTGACGGAGGAAGTGAGGAAGAGAAAAAGAGAGAGACTGAGCGAGAGCTAGTGTTGTAGTACTGGAGACCGGTCTCGAGACCACTTTTTAAAGGTCTTGGTCTCGTCTCAGACTCGACCGCACTTGTACTCGGTCTTGTCTCGGTCTCTGGCATTGAGAACTCAGGATTTTATTTCAAGTCCATAACTTTGATGTATTTATCAAGACCATAACTTTGGTAATATCAATAAATTGCTTTTGCATTATCTGTATTTATTAACATTCTAACTTTGAGTGGATGTAGATAACTAAATAAAAATGCGTTGTTACCTGTGATGGTAAACATGGAAAAGGAGCGTTGCTTACGTTGATTTCAGCTCTTAGTGTTTGTATGTGCGAGTTTTAATGGGAATGTGGATCTTTCAGATCAATCTGAGAAGCACCTCTGATTTTTTTGTGTGCCATGTAATGTGGGGAACTGGTCTTGGTCTCAGCCCCTAAAATCTCGGTCTTGATAAACTCTGGTCTCGGTCTTGACTTGGTCTCGGTTTGGGCGGTCTGGACTACAACACTAGCGAGAGCTCAGTGAAATAAAAGTCTGCAGGACAGACGGCGAGCTTGACGTCTCTCTGTTGGACTGCTCAGTAGTGTTGCTCTGTCTTGTGTTGTCGCACTCACATTATGTTTGGCTTTTAGCAAAGGCGGCGACTTGCTAGTTTTTCATCATAACTAATGTAATCATAACAATGCGCGTGCACGTGCACAGAAGTCCTTATCTGTTATTTTATTCATTTATTTATTTTAACCCTGTCCTGCCCTGTAGACAGATTTTACTTTAACATTATATTAATATACTCCTTTGTCTGTTTTATTATTTATTTAAATATGTATGGATTTGTCACCGGGCCGGACAGGGGGGGGAGGCATGGGGATGGAGGGAGCAAACAAACACCACAGAGAGAGGAGAACACCTGCAAGAGAAGGTGGTGGGGGGGGGGGGGGGGGACAACAGGAAACAGAACAGGAAAATAACTCCTGCTGTCCTTATTTATAACAGCGGGGAAGTTCACTCTGAAACGGTCCCAGATCACTCAAAGCACCACATCTCACATGATCTCGCTTAAAGATGGAACGTCTGTAAATCATCATTGATTTATAAATAAATCAGTGATTCTTCCATGACTGAAATAAAGTTTCTCCTTCAGTTAATTTAATCTCCGCAGACACCTGAAGGCAGCAGCAGCAGCAGCAGCAGCAGCAGAGCTGAGTGACGTTGCACAAACACACTGTTCACTGTGTTCATTAATTCACCTGAACAGAATACACACATTAGACTGTGGAACATATCAGGAATATAAACAAAACAGACCAAAGTGAAACACAGACGAGTCCAAGATTCTGTCCTGAGGATTCAGCACAACCACTGACTTTTCTCTGGAGCTAAACACTCCCCATAAAGTCTGTTAGAGGGCTGTGAGGAGCAGAAACGTCTGGAGACCACTGCAGTAGAGGAACCTTAAATGTCAGAAAGGGTCCAACACGTAAAAGCAGTCGAGTAAACACTGACTGTGATGGATTATCTCCCCTCAGCAGGGTGATTTTCAGCGTCACATCGACCCACCTGGACGTGATGAGGGGAAGAATGAGCATCTTCAGCATCCTCATCAGCAGCTCTCCGGGAAAAGAGAAGTAGATCTTTGCCTGCGGAGATAAACGAGAGATGCGTTTTAGAAAATACACGTCACTTCAAAATAAAAGCGGGACGTTGTCATCGTGTAGTTGGCAGGAGATTTCTCTGCTATGTAAATCAGCGTCCAGCAGAGCTGCAACAAACGATTATTGTCACGGTTAATTAATCTGTCGATTATTTGATTAGTCGTTAATTAGTCTAAAAGTGTCCGAAAGATGTCAAAAATGTTGATCAGTGTTTCCCAAAGCAAAAGATAACGTTCTTAAATGTCTTGTTTTGTCCACAACCCAAATAGCTTCAGTTTACTCGTCACAGAGGAGGAATGAAACCAGAAAATATTCACATTTAAACGCTGGAATTAGATAATTTTCTTCCTTGTTTGACTGGCCCCAGTCAAACAAGGAAGAAAATTATCTAATTCCAGCGTTTAAATGTGAATATTTTCCACAAGGCTCAGTGCTTGGACCCCTCCTTTTCACCATTAACATGCTCCCCCTCGGATAATACGTCACCATGGTCTCAGTTTCCACTGTTATGCTGATGACACACAGCTGTATATCAACACCAAACCATCCACTCAGCTTCCCTGAAATAAAAACCTGGATGTCATCCAATCTACACAAGCTAAACAGCAGCAAAACGGAGCTAATGGTAGTGGCTCCCAAGCCGCTGCTCCTGAGGATAATAATAATAATAATAATAATAATAACAACAACAATAATAATCTTTATTTGTAGGGCACTTTTCAAAACAAGTTACAAAGTGCTTTAATAAGTGTAAAGACAATAATACCCAAAAGACAATAATACAAAAACAATACAAGATAAAAGCATGAAAACATTAAAAAGACTAAAATACACGTTTTAGATAAATATAAAATTGGTAAAATAGAATAAAATAAAAGGGATAAAATAAAGTCAAATAAGATCGGGAAAGGCTCTCCTATAAAAGTATGTTTTAAGAAGGGACTTAAAAGAGTTCACTGACTCAGCCGACCTGATTTCCTCGGGCAAACTGTTCCAGAGCCTCGGGGCCCTGACAGCAAACGCTCTGTCCCCTTTAGTTTTCAGTCGAGACTCTGGAACAGACAACAGACCTCTGCCCGAGGATCTCAAGGTACGTGCTGGTGCGTATGGGACTAAAAGGTCAGAAATATAACAAGGCGAGAGGCCATGAAGAGCTTTAAAAGTGATCAATAGAATTTTAAAGTCAATTCTAAAACATACTGGGAGCCAGTGTAATGAAGCTAAAATAGGAGTAATGTGGTCATATTTCTTTGTTCTGGTTAAAAGCCTGGCAGCTGAGTTCTGGACAGTCTGGAGTCGATCAATAGATTTTTGGGTTAAACAGGTGAAAAGGCTGTTGCAATAATCCAGGCGTGATGAGATGAAGGCGTGTAAAATGGTCTCGGTGTCCTTAAAAGTTAACATAGATCGAATTTTTGCTATATTTCTAAGTTGATAAAAACATGATTGAACAAGCTTTGTGGTGTGCTGCTCGAAATTTAAATTACTATCAAACCAAACACCAAGGTTCTTTGCCACAGGCTTAATGTGATTTACTAGGGAACCAGCAGATGGCAGTATTTGATTTGCCATCTGCTGAGACCCGATGACCAGGATTTCTGTTTTGTCTGAGTTCAGCTGGAGGAAATTATTTGACATCCATTTTTTAACTTCACAAAGGCAGTTGTTAAGTGAACTCAGCATTCCAGGGTCTGTGGATCTGACAGGCAAGTATATTTGTGTGTCATCAGCATAAATATGAAAAGAAATGCCATGTTTATGGATAATATGTCCAAGGGGAAGCAGATACAAGGAAAAGAAAATGAGTCCTAAGACCGACCCCTGAGGCACACCATATTTAACTGGACAGAACGAGGAGACATAGTTGTTTACAGACACGCAAAACTTCCTATTTGACAGGTAGGATGAAAACCATTCTAGAGCAGTACCAGAGATCCCCACCCAGTGCCTCAGTCTGTCTAACATGATGTTGTGATCAATGGTGTCAAAAGCAGCGCTAAGGTCCAGGAGTACCAGGACTGAGCACATGCCTTCATCAGCAGACATTAAAAGGTCATTGGTGACTTTAAGCAGGGCAGTCTCAGTGCTGTGGTACTTCCTAAAACCAGACTGAAACTTTTCAAATAATTTGTTATTTTCCAGTACAGTGAGCAGCTGTTTGGACACAATTCTTTCTAGAATCTTTGCAATAAAAGGCAGTTTTGAAATTGGTCTAAAATTATGTGGGAGGGAGGGATCTAAACCAGGTTTCTTTAAAAGTGGGTTCACGCAAGCCGTTTTAAAATAATCAGGGACACAACCAGTAGATAGGGAGCTGTTGAAAACAGAGATCAAATGGGGCCCAACAGAATCTATTACTTTCAGTAAAAACTTTGTAGGTATTACATCAAGTGGGCTGGAGGACACTCTCATTTGTGATACTGTTAAAAGCTCAGACAAGTCGATGGGATAAAACTGGTTAAAACTCTCTTGTTGCTGGTGAGGAACCTCTGAGTAAGAGGCCACGGGGGTAATAGAGGCTCTGATTGACACCACCTTATTGGTAAAATAAGATAAAAACAATTCACAGTCATCATTACTTCCAGCTGAGGCACAAGGAGGGGTTGGGTTTACCAGCTGATCCACAGTCTGAAACAGAAACCTGGGATTGTGTTTATGTGTAGTAATGAGTTCAGAAAAATAGTGTGGTGATCTACTCCTCAAAGTGGATGGTTGCTCCATCTCTCCATCCCAAGAAGTCCACGACCTTGGTGTCATCTTGGACTCCACCCTTTCCTTCCACATGTCAAACTTATTACCAAATCTGCGTTCTACCACCTCAAAAACATCTCCAGACTTCGACCATCACTCTCAGACTCTGTGGAAGAGTATCTCATCCACGCCTTCGTCACCTCCCGCCTGGACTACTGTAATGGTGTCCTGTATAGGGTTCCCAGCAAGGTCCTGGACAGGCTACAATACGTCCAGAACTCGGCTGCCAGGGTTCTCACACACACAAGGTCGTGGCAGCACATCACCCCAATCCTCACTCAGCTTCACTGGCTCTCGGTCAAATTCCGCTTCACCTACAAAACCCTACTCCTCACCTATAAATCTCTCCATGCCACTGCCCCCCAGTACCTACTGGACCTTCTCCACCCCTACCCCCCCTCACAGGAACCTGCGGTCCTCCGACAAGGGCCTGCTCTCTGTCCCCCGCACCAGACTGCGGACTTTTGGGGACAGAGCCTTCAGCATCGCAGCCTCCACCCTCTGGAACTCCATCCACACAGAGATCCGAAATGCTCCCTCTCTGGACACCTTCAAAAAACTCCTAAAACCACCTCTTCACAAAGGCATTCAACCCTGAATGACTTTTTGTTGCTCTGTCTCTGCAATTATGTGTAAAGCATCTTTAGGCCTTGTGAAAGGCGCTATATAAATATAAGTTATTATTAAAAAATGACTCAAACCAATTATTAATCGATTTTCAAAATAGTTGCTCGTTAATTTAATAGTTGACAGCGAATCGATTATTCAATTAATTGTTGCAGCTCTAGCTTCCAGTAGAGTGAGTAAAGTTCATCTTTGTTAAACTTGTCCGATCACTGCGGCAGCTGTGGTGCGTTGCTAGATGTCTATGGAGCCTTCTCCCTAGTGCTCATGGGAACTGTAGTGTTTTAGGTCATTCAAAACGCCACATTAAAAGGGATCTGTCGGGAACACAGAAACTGAAGTTACAGGCTGCTGAGGAAGTGAGCAGCTCCAAAGAGACAAGTGAATATGCCATCCTCTTCATTTAAAACATATATGTCGTTGTAAGTTTTGCAGTACTTGTTTTTTTCTGCTCCATAAAACACCAGGAAGCTCGAGGCTGGCCACCGAGACGTCTGCAGAAACAACGAAGAGAGACGAGACACGGGTGAAACACATCAGGGCCGGTGCAAACAAGCAACCCAGAGACACAAGGGTTGCGGTCAAAAAGTCTTTTTTGCTCAGGAAGATTCCTAACTGAGTGAAGTATTTCAGTGTCAGCCATATTGAGAGCTGGTCGAATTCTCTTAAAGCTGAGGAAAGGTGCCTCAGTGCTTCCTTTCTTATCTCCTTTAGCGTTTTTCCACCAGGGCTGCGGTCGAAAAGTAAAAAAAAAAAAAATCTCCTTTCCTAACCACCTTTCCTTGACCTTAACGGAAAACGTCATGAGGTCAAGGAAAGGAGATAATGCCGTCCCACAATTCCTTGCGGCAGCAACATTTAAAGCGACTCACGTTCTCAAACGATAAAATCCATCGACAACATGTAACAAAATCCTGCAATACAGACGCACATCATGACACCCGAATAAGACCCACAATTTCCTGCTTTCTTTTGGCTTTGCTGTAATCTGATGCTGCTCCAACAACATTATTCGACAGTAAGTGTATTTGAATTTTATACAATAAAAAAAAAGAAAAGAAATTAGAGACCATGACGGATAAAAGACATCGATCGTAGTGACTCTCTAATTTCTTTTCTAGGCTAAGTTACCATCAGCTATTAAGCGTTTTCTCTCTTATGCCATAACCTGCTAATATGTGTAGTAGGGCGGAACCAGTTTGCAGTTTCAGTTTGCATTAGTTATTTTTGGCCAATGTATTGCAGCCTTCAGCAATATCATTGATTTACTTCTGTCACAGATTCTTCCTTAATAAAGGCCTCAATGAAGCTGGATGACCTCTACAGTAAATGTAATGTCTCATTTCAGTGTTTCCCACACACTGATTTGATTTTTGATTTTTCTGCAGCCAAGGACAGGAAGCAAAACCAGACAAAGACACCAGGGACAGAGCAACTTCAAAATAAAAGGGAAACACGTGACAGAGCTGTTAGTATTCATGGAGAAACACATCAGCTGCATTTCTGTTGGCTGTCAAGCTTGAACTTTTGTGTGTGGTGGCCTGAGAAACACGCCACCGGTGTGCCATTTTAACATGTTATAAAGAGTTCAAACACTCAGCTGGTGGTTGCTTGTCCAGCAGTGCGAGCCTGCGAGCCTCTGCTCAGGGTGCTATTTCTAAACACTGGCCTTCTTCAGACTTCCACTGTAAGTGAAATCTATTAACCTTTTTCCCCTGAAAATGTTGGGTTTATTACTTTATACTTCCTACTGCACCACATGCCAGAGGGAAATCTAGTACTTTTTACTTCACTCCATTTATCTGAAAACTAATGTTTCTTTCTGCTGAATCAAATTATTCTTTACAAAATATATATTATTCTGCATGAGTACTTTTACTTTTGGTATTGGTGTAATACTTTTACTTGAGTACATTTTAATTGCAGGATTTTTACTTGTAACAGTTCACTCATTATTATATTAATATTTATTCATGCTACTTCTGTCACGTACTGGAGAATACTGCACTTATTTCTACACTCCAATTTGTATTTCTCTATTTCTTTTATCCTGTTTTTTATTTTTAGCAATGTGAGCAACTGTAACGCGACAATTTTCCCCTCAGGGATCAATAAAGTATTTCTGGTTCTGTATTTCTACACTGCTGTTTTACTACTCCTGCTGAAGTAAAAGGTCTGAATACTTCTTCCACCACTGAAATACAATAAGATAAATGAAGAAACTAAAGAAACCTCAGATCTGGTGACTTGGTTTACTTTCTGCTTCCTCACCAACGCCAGAGACGTTATATAGATACAGGCCTGTAACGCCAAAGATGGCGTTGTCCCACCTCTCCCATTAGAAAGCCAATAGTCTTCTTTTTAACAGCCGAGGAGGGAAAGATTCTTTCAGCCAATCGTGCGGCTCTACTGCGCATGCCTCACTAGAAGCGTAGAACTATAACCGGTGGGGAGAAACGCTTTTTAAACCTTATTCTGGGGCAAAGCTGTCCAACTTTTTAATTTTGATTTTAATGCTGATTCTATTCATGTGTTTTTTATGTCCCAGTGACCAGTGAACGTGCAGCTCTGGCTCTCTCGCCATTCATTCAGATATTATTGGTCCAAAATAGCTGCCCGGAGGCGTTGCCAAGATGGCGGCCAAGTGGCAGGACCTGCCTATAAGTACTTTGCCAACGCTGCCGGTCTGACTTCACATTTGACATCACATGTCGTCTAAGTGGCTCAATGACCTCCATGTTTCTGTGCAGACTATCTCCAGCCGCTGTTCGATACAGTCTGTCTGAGACGGATCAATTCTTCCTGGAAAGTCAGTTCGCACAGAAACAGAACTATTTTTAACTAACAGCTGAACTGACTTACGGATATTACAGACAAACGTAACTGAAGAAGCTCAGAGAATCTGCTGTGCTGAAGGACTTTTACTTCTATTATTACTACTTTTACTAAAGTAAAGGATCCGAGTACTTTTCTGAAACTGAAGGACTGATCGTGTAAATAGTTGCAGCTTCATTAACTGATGGATCATTAGAAGTGTATTACAGTTTGTTGTTTAATTATTTATGTGCATTTTATCACCCAGCATTAAATCTAAACAGCTTCAGTGGTTTATTTTGAAAGAGGTCATATTCTGCTCATTTCCAGGTTCAGCATTTGCACACTGCTGCAGCGCCTCGTTTCACTGAACGCTCCGTTGTTGCTTTTTAACTTTGCAAACCTATTACATGCACAAAAAAAGATATTTAACACAATAAAGGAAAGCAGAATATGACCTCTTTAATGTCGGCCTGCGTTAAATGAAGTCATATTTAAACGTGCGGAGGCTTAAAATACCTGATGCGTCCGTTTCAGGTGTCTAAAAGAGTAAATTATTATTGCCAGAATAAATACAGAGGACATGAGCTCAGCGTCTTGATTTACTGCCGCGTTTTATTACTGAACTTGTTTCACTTTCAGCTCCTCAGCAGAGAAGACAAGAAGGAGAAACTCTCTGAGAGGCTGGCAGCCAGTAACTGAAAGGAGGGATTAATGACGTTGGATTGGCTGCAGTCTCCCTCTGCGGCTGTTTAGGCTGACACTGTTTCATACAAGAGCAGCGTGAAAGTGTCAACACGGAGGAAGGCATGAGGGGAAATTTAAAGCTCCCTGTGCGACTTTTTGAGCTTTGACGCATGCATTTTTATTCTGTGCATTTCATTGTTTTTGTCCTTGTTTGCGGGACAGCAGTTTAATTCTTCCACGCAGGAAGCACACAGTGACATTTCTTTTTACATAAGAAGAAGAGCTTGAAGCGGTTGGCAGGAATGTGTATCCCACGTGGCCGGCCTGCTCGCTCGCTCGCTCGCATGAACGTGCGTCCTCTTGCACAATACAAACCAAACTCGTCACTCACCCGTAAAAACATTGCTACTAGTCAAAAACAGGGAACCCTTAAAGGAAGTGTCACCCTGGGAGCAGGCTTTGAAGTCCTGACCGGAAATTTAAAGGAAATTAAAGCTACAAGAAGCGTTGGACGGGCCCTCGCGCCCTGAAGCACATTGGGGTATGTCAGTGAGATGCACCTCCACCTATGTGGCACTAGACAGCACCTGCTAAATTTATGTTGTGTATCAGTACTTGAATTGAAAAATAACATGTAAATCAAATGATTTTTATGCCATTACATTTTGTGATTTTTGCCATGTACATGTGTTCAGGGCAGGACTCTTATAAAAACATGTAAAGTTTGGTGCAGATCTGAGCATGTACAACAACTTCCTGTTTCAAGGCGAATGATCGATTTTCAACGCCACGCCACGGACACGCTAATGGACAAAAACTCACAGATAGCACAACATTTCATCGTCAATGCCTTTAGATTGCACAGCAAAAATTTGAAATCGATCGGATTAATTCTGTAAGAGGAGTTTGTTAAAGTACGCACCCTGTAAAACACAAAAAATGACCATTTAATTCAGGTTGCTTTTTAGGGGGCGCTAGTGAGCCATTTTGCCATTTGTCATTTAATTTAATTTGGGACAATAACAATTTCTTGCTCATGTTCGAGCCCTAAACATCAACATGGGAGCTTAACGGGACATATTAATCTGTTAGATATTTTTTCGCCCACCTGGCGGCAGCAGAACAGGTTGTAAACACGTCATCCGACATGTTATCGCCTTATAAAGTAGTTGTGGCTAACATGTAAACAAACAGCTGCAACATGATCATCTGAGTCTGAAACCTGGACAGAAAAATAACGTAACGTCTATTGGAATCAATTCAGTTTTATTTTTTAACGCCAATTCAGAACAACACTGCACTTTTCTTATAGAGAATACTGTCTGTTATATTATTTACAGAGACCCAACAGTTCCCACCAGTGCTAATGCTAACTAGCCTCTGCTTTACCAAGTTTAATCTTTACCTTTGTGAGTGAGACACAAACTGAACATCACGGTGGGTCGAACAAAGTGTTGAGTATTCATGTGATAAAGTCACTTTGTCTAAAATGTGTCCAAAAAACGTATCAACACGAGTCTGAGCAGCTAAAAGAAATAAAGTACAGGATCAGTAAAACCTTCCCTCAGGTGAGTCATACCTGTGTGGACAGGTGAGTTCCTCTCAGCATGAAGCCCAGCATGCAGCCCGTGGCCACGGCGATGACCGACAGCGTCAGCAGCCCGTTCCTCTTAAAGAAATCCCTCACGTTCTTACTCAGGTCCTCCTTCACCGTCGCCTTGACAAAATTCTTCATTTGGTCCTCCACCGTCCTCCCCGCGTCCCCGGGAACATGCGAACTGTTCTCGGAGAGGGTCTCCTCCTCGCCGCTCGGTAACAGAAGCTCCTCCATCGCCCTCCAGATCTTCTTCTGGTCTTCCTCTCTGTGCATTTGCGGCTGGCAGGGTGACAAGCCTGAGAGAAGGAGAGCTAACCTTTTCCACTGAGGGATTAAATCATCACGGTGTGATCAGGGCCAACGGCAGCCCTGCAGGCCGGCTGCAGGCAGGCAGGCAGACTTACAGGCACTAAGAGGCTTAAAGAGGTGGGACAACGTCTCACACGCCTTTGTTGTGGCATCTGGCCCTGCTGCTGGACCCGGTCCCGTTGTTGTTTCCGCTTTACTGCGTTTGGATGAACGGTCAGGGTCAAAAGGACAACAGAGCGGTCGGAGGATCTGCAGGTTTACACGGAGCACCTTTAACCTTTGTGTGTAGTTTGAGAAATGATGTTTGAAAGGTGTTTATTGGTTGTTGTTGTTGTTCTCCAGCTTTTGTAGAAACAACATGAGAAATTTAAGTTTGTGAATGTGCAGAACATTTCTGAGAATGTCTTTAAAACCTGTCAACCTGGATAAGACGCAAGCTTTTGGTGTGAGAGACCCGGGTTAGAATCCACTGAGACACCAAGGTGTCCCTGAGCAAGACACTTAACCCCTCGTTGCTCCAGAGGCATGCGACCTCTGACATGTAGAGCAACTGAGAATAAAAGCTTCAGCTAAATGAATACATGTAAATGTAATGTACTCAGATCTGAAGTTAAAGTACTAATACCACAGTGTAGAAATACTCAAGTTACAAGAAAGCATCAAAGTGATGCAAAAAGATGTTTATGTTCAGACTCAGATCAGAAAATCCTTCTTAAGGAAAGTAAAGTTAGATCTTGATCAGCCGACCTGCACGGAGATCTTATTGATCACATTACAGCCGACCTAAACGCAGCCATTAATCCAGAGTCCAGATCATGACGGTAGGATTTGTCAGAGTCGTCTTTAAAGTGTGTCAAAACACAATCAAACTCTGGTGCATCAGCACTAATCCACTCAGTGCTGTTCGAGGCTGGCGTCACGCCGGGGTCAGGTCTGAGCGGTGAAGAAGCAGCCGTGATGAACCAATCAGAGCCCGACACAGAACTGCAGTCGGATACACCTGAACTGGTTTTCCTCAAACTGACGAGTTAATTCACAAAATGTCCAAACTTAGCTCCTCTGTGGAGGATCTCAACAGTTCTGTGTTTTAGCGACTCCTAGTGGTCGTTTCCAGTAAAGACACCAGCGCTGTTTTTAAATTCAGCAGTCCACTGGAGCTGCAATACGTTGACTAATCGATTAGATGTCAACTTCAAAATTACTGACCAACAGTTTTGCCCTTTTTTAAAGAAAAAACGTCCAAATTATGTGATTCCGGCTTCGTAAACATGAATATTTTCTGGTTTCTTTCCTCCTCTGTGACAGTAAACTGATCATCTCCGGGTTGAGGATACAAGAAGTCATCTGTGGACGTCACATTGGGCCTAACGACTCATCGATTAATCAAGAAAATAATCTACAGTATGCTCACAGCGTGACTGCGCTTTATCTTAAAATTAAGATTATTAAGAGTAAAATAGTTGTGGCTCCTCCTCCACCTGCAGATGAGGAAGGAGTGAGGAAGCAGATAAATGACTAAATATTCACAGCTGGAAAAGAGAATGCAGGGAAGCAAAGATGGGAAAAAACATGTACAGTACATGACAGGGTTTATTATCTGGTTATAATTAAAGACTTCTTTATTTAAGGCGGAGGATCCTCCTCCCTGTGCCCCGTCTGAAAGGGACTGTGAACTGTTATTTGCTTATGTTACTGTTAAAGTGGAGTCAATTAGAGCCTCTATTACCCACAATACCTCTTACCGTGACATCCCTCACCCGCAACAAGACCGTTTTAACCGGTTTTATCCCATTACTTTGTCTTCCAGCCCTCTCAAAGTAATTCCAACAGAGTTTTACTGCAGTCTGTGTTTTTATCTGCCGACTGATTTACTGCTCATGTGATTCTGCTGATAAACCAACCTGGTCTGGATTCCTCCCTCCCATAAAACTGTAGATTCATTTCCACGTTATCTTTTATTACAAGCGTCCCAGCACTGAGGCCGCCCTGTGCTCAGTCCTGGTACATCCTGGTTTCAACGTGTGGACAAAGGAGGTTCTGTGTCTTCATTTTGTTCTGTTAAGTTCAGCTTAAGGGAAAGATTTCCTCCAGCTGAACTCAGATCCTGGTCTTTGGGTCCCGGCACAAAAACAAATCCTGCCGGTTCCCAAGTGGATCATATCAGGCCCGTTTCAAGGCTTCAAGGTACATTTAATGGTCCTATAATGACAGGGTTATAATATGAAACTCCCTCTGCTTCGCTGCAGAAAACAGTCTGACAATCATAAAAAGGTAAACAGAAAGAAAGTGGAAGCTGGATTTCATGGAGCATAGAGCTACTTTAAGTTTGGAGCCGCGCATCGTATATCTTTTATAAAGGTTTTATCATCGACCTTTTAAAGACACTGAGAGCATCTTACACGCCTGGATTACCTCAGTGCCTTTTTTAACGTGCTTGAACCATAAATCTATTCATCGACTCAGCTGCCAGGCTGCAGACCAGAACCAAGAAACGTGATCACTTCTGTTTCGGCTTCATCACACGGGCTCCCAGGATGATTCAGAGTAGATTTTAAAATGTTACTGATTACCTTTAAAGCTCTTCACGGCCTCTCCCCCTGCTCCATCTGACGTTTTATTAGCGGATGCACCGGCACGTACTCCGAGATCCTCGGGCAGAGGTCAGCTGTCGGAACCACAGTTCCGACTGAAAACTAAAGGGGACCGTTTGCAATCGGGGCCGCGAGGCCTTGGAACATCCTGCCTGAGGAAGTCAGGTCGGCTGAGTCAGTGAACGCCTTTAACTCCCTTCCTAGAACAGACTTTTATCAGAGAGCCTTTCCTGATTTTATTTGACTTTAACTTTCCTTTGAACTGTATGAATCTGTTCCCGTTTAAAACCTGACAGCTTTTTGTTTTTGCGGTATGATCAGTTAATCAGCTGACCTTTTTCTTTCCAAACTGCAGGTTTTGCACCTCACTCCCTCTGTTAGGACCAGGAGACCCTTTCCTTTTCAGATGTGGAAGCTTTTAAGAGCTCGAGTTAATGCTGCTTCAGAGGAAACATTCAACACAGTACTACTGAATCTTCGTGGCCTTCTCGCTGTCTCGTCTTCTGTCTCGTCCTTTTGTCTGCATGTTTATGTTATTGTGTCATATGTGTACTTCACGTGTAGGTTTTTGTTTTGAATTTCACGTCTCAAACAAGTTATTTGCCTTTTCTTATTTTATCCTTGGACTACTTCCTGTCCACACTACCGCGTTTTCGTTTTAAAGCAGAGACCTTTTGCTGCGTCTGCGCCTCCCGTCCAGACTAAACGGTGAAAACAAAGACCTAAAACGCTGCCGACCCCGTTTTTCATTTTAAAACTCCAGGTAGCGTTTTAGTGAAAACGGGTAAGAACGGAGGACTTTAGAAACGATGATGCAGACGCTCACGCTCAGCTCTCTGATTGGGTCTCATAAGTCGTGCAAAGCAGAAACACGATGCTGCTGACGGAGTTTTTGATTTGGTATTTTCATTAAAATATTTTGTACCGTGCAAACAACACTTACAGCCCACACTTGTACTGTGCATGTCGCCATATTTACTCCCAGTCTGTTTTCCGCCGCCACCGCCGCTGTTAACTCCCATGTTACATTCAGTAACAGTCCCAGCTCGTGATTGGTCCATGCAAAATTAAATCAGGTGCGATTCTTCGTCTGTATTTCTTTATTTTTAAACTAAAACGGACTTTTGCTTAGGCACACGGTGTGTTTACAAGCGGTCTTTCCATAAAAACGTGTGCAAGTTGTTACTCGTGCACCTTTTCACTGAAGGCCACGCCATTACCACGCCTCCTTTTAGCCAAGTGGCAGAACCTCAAACACACATGTTCACACACAAACTTAATTGACCTCCATGCCAACTTTCAGCTGCCTCGGGTGAAAACTGTGGGGAAAGTTTTGTAGCTGGAGCTACAGAGCTGAGAGTTCTGCGTCGACTCGTCTCCGAGAGGTCCAACTCTGTCAGGATGAACGCCACGGCAGAGCGGCGGCCTCTGAGGGAGGAACACGAGTCAGAACAACAGGGTTCTCGTCGTTATTTGTGGAACAACAACTGAGACACGAACTCATGGACGGACACAAATGTGTTCGATTTATAATAACAGTGTTGATTTAATTATCTTTGAGATGATGACACGTTTCATAAAGAAGGAGTTACCTGATCAAAGACACGACAAAATAGTCTGAGGAACTGAAAACACATGAACTAAAAAGCTTCTGACTGTTGAGAGACAGCCAGAATATTTAAATTGACATTGAGAATCAAAAGATATTAAATATGTTTTAATTAAGTTTTTATTTTCACAGCAGGTTTATGATCATGAAACCTCCACCAATCACGCTCCAACATCACCTCGTCAATATGAATATCTAACACAGAAATCAAAGTTTGGAAACATCATGGAGAGCAAACGTTTATCACAATAACAGCAGTAAGAATGCAGGCTCTGTTGCCCCAGTGCATGCTGGGAGGGCTCCTAAGACACGTTATTTATGTCCTGCTAAAGTTTCAACAACGGGGGCGAGTTCGGCGCCGACAAAACGTATTTTTCAACGGAAACTGTGGTGCCTCGAACACCCTGTTGTGAACGCATGCGCGCTGCATTTTCCTGCCTTTTTAACGCTGTTGTGTTTACGAACTTGTCGCAGCCGATTGGGTAACACCTGTGACACGCCCGCCAAACACAAGAAAACATAACTCGAAGCCCGTTGGGGAACGTTGCAAAACGTTTTGAGATCGAACTCGCCCCTGATTGGCTAATCCTAACCGAGTGTCGAAACACTGGCAGGAAAAAAAGAACGCTCCCAACACACCTACCAATCACATGATCAGCACTCAGCCAATCATAAGAAAGCTGATCAAGGTTTCTACTCATTTTGCCTTTCTTTCAAAATAAGAGCGCGCTGTTTCTCAAGATAACGTCAACATAAAAAAATAAAAAATAAATCAACCCTTTAACTGCTGAAAATAAACAGGAGTCTTTTAGCCCATGAACAACAAGGCCCAGGGGATCGAGTCAACAACAACAAAAAACCTAACCTAACATTTCCAGGTAGAGACGAGCTGGTGAACGAAGAGGAGCCAGAGGTTTCAGCAGCGTGAGGACATCACGTCGCTCTGCATCTGCAGCCGCTCGCAACAAATAAATAATCAACATGGTCTTAAATACCAAGCATGACAATAATCTCACGTCAACTAGCACAGGAGAAATGAGGAGATGGGCCAAACCTTTAAAAATACAAAACATCACAATGGTTTAGGTGCAGACACTGATATATCCCGACTGTCTTTAAAGGCTCCGGTGTTTATAGTACAGACTAACTTCACACCTAAATATATTAAACTTTGCAGCTGTGGAAAGTACATTTACTCAACTGTGAGGTACTTCTACTTCTATTCCACCACATCTGAGAGGGAAACACTTTTCACTACATTACCTGACGGCTATATTCACTGATTTAAGATTAACACAAAATATAATTAGTATGAAACTATGTATTATAATTAAACTACCCAGCAGTATATAAATTAGCTCCACGTTTACCAGCTGCAACATTAAAGTGATGCTAAAAAACAAATGCATCAATAATATTATATAATATACATAACTCTGCAGCTCGCGCACCCGTTACACTGCCACCGTTTCATGCCGTTCTTTTCTAATTGATAATCAGTGATTGACCGATATTTAGCAGGATTATATATAATCCATTATTCCTGCAGAGTGCAGTCTAACCTACATGTTCTCTCAGCAGTAACGTGTTGCTTCAGATCTTTTTATTAATGAATGAAACTGAAACATACTTCTTTCAGAGCCCGTTTATACTTCGTCGTGAGCATTTATACTCGTGTGTTAGCGTCTGCGTTGCGTTACGTCGTCGACGCTCAAAAGTATTTAACCACCGTGTTCCCGCCGCTGGTTTGGCTGCTAGTAAAACTGGCTTCAGAGCACGCAGCACTTCCTGTGGACTCAAAAGGAAATACAATGCTGCCAAGCTGACCAATCACAGTTTGCTGTCTGCGTAGCCGCGACGTGTAGTTACATCTCGGTGGAGGTTCTCATCGGGCTACGACGTAGATTCAGCGCAGATGTATAAAATGGCCTTTATCCTCTGCAGCAGGTTTTCAAAGTGGGAGGCGGGCTCAGTGAACGGACGTGAAAATATTAGTTATGAAAAGGAGATCACACAGACCAGCCTGAATGTGTGCGATTTGGTTAAAAGAGATGCAGAAGATACTTTCCCAGAGTCAGAAACTAAAACCTGCTTCAGGAAGCAAACTGAAAAGTAAGAGGGCGCCTTTTTCCAAGGTTTGTCTGAGGGGACGTCTCAGACTTTGAAAACTCTTCTCTACAGTGTCTGTGTGTGTTTTAGATAGATTTATTTATTTTTATCACTAGTCAGAGCTGCTGTCATTCAACTCTTTCAGCTCCTTCCTGGAACTCGTTCACCGCCAGTTCCCTGACCGCAGACGTGTCCACACTTCCTGTGAGCGCAGGTACCGACAATAATCTAGCGTGTCGGTGGTTTTGTTAACTTTCATGTGTTATTTTTGTTTAAATCTGAATAAAAATAAATAGTTGATCCAGCTGCTGCAGGTGTTTCCGCCTCTCAGCTGAAATCTTCGCGGAGTTGTGCGTTTCCTTTGGTTTGGCTGTGTGCGTCCGTGCACTTCCTGTCTGTCACCACTTGATGAAGACGAGCGCGGCCAGCGCCGCGTAGCCGAGGATGAGGAAGAGCACTTTGAGCAGCCGGTCCTGTTTGTCGTCCAGCTCTCGGGACAGAATCTCAAAAAAGGTGACGAACAGGAAGGTGCCGGCGGCGAATCCCTGCAGCACCACCGACACCACGGCGCCAGCCAGCGTCTGAGCCGACTCGATGCCCATCCCCACCACCATCCCCAGCGGGATCATCAGGCTGACCGTGACGCCCAGCTTTGCGGCGTCCTTCATGCCAAGGGACGCCTTGGCCACGCTCACCCCGAGCGCCACGGCGGCCAGCGTCTCGTGCACGGCCACGCCCAGGAAGAGGCCGCCCAGCTTTCCTCCGTCCTCCTGCAGGCCGAGCGCCAGGCCCTCAAACACCGAGTGAGCCGACAGAGCCAGGACCAGGCTGGCCAGCCGCAGAGGCCCCGCCCCCGCCAGCTCGGCGGGGCTGAAGTGCCCGTGCTGGTGTCCGTGCAATCGGCGACCGCCGCCGGCCGGCGGGCCCCGTGCAGAGGAGATGAAGGGCGTGTCGTACTCTGAGTCGCTGCCGGCCTCGGAGCCGCCGGCGTTGAAGGTCTCCAGGTCGATGAAGGCCGGTTTCTCCTTCCTGAAGGTGAGGACGGCCTGCTCCACGAACACGGTGAGGAAGAAGCCGAGCATCATCATCGTCTCGGCCAGAGGATAGTCGCTGCTGATCTTCAGCTGCCGGAACACGTCGGCCACCTGAGGAGAGAAAACAGACCGAGGATCTGATTCTGGATCTGGATCCAAATCCTTTTGTAAATAACCGTCACCGAATGTGTCGTTGCTTCCTGTTGTGTGTTCAGCTCGTACCTCCTCACGACAAAGTCAAAGTGTCAGGCGTGAAGTTGTAATTTGTGCGTTACCTTGTCTCTGACGGCGGGCAGCAGAGCGTTGAAGCACGTCGCCAGGAAAACGCCTCCTCCGAACGAGTTGCAGAGCGACAGCGCCCTCCTGTATCTGTGAGCCTTGTCGTAGTCCACCAGCAGGAGGCGCACCGGGACCAGGACGCCGGCCAGCATGAGGCCGAACAATCCCAGCAGGCCGAGCAGCTTGGCCACCAGGATCTCCATCCTGAAGCTCCGCTCAGCACCACAGCCTGCAGGACTCTACTGGGACATCTCTACTGGTTCTACTGGGACAGAGAGAGCATGAGAGCGAACATTTCCTCAGTGAGGAAGAACGTTTGGTGTTTCAGGCGGCTTTCACGCCTCGCTGGGTCCGGACTTTCAGACTTTTCAGTTTGATCAGAACTAAAATTAAGCGTCTGTTTCAAAAGATGAGCTGTGAGATTCATAATCGTGTCTTCATTTCAATTCTTCTCTCTGTGCATTTGTTTGTTTCCCGGTTTACACGGGAACCACTGAACTTCCTGTAAATGTTCTGAGAGTCCGAACCATCCCATAAAAACCTTCTGCACACCGAGACTTTATCCTGTCGGTCCGGGGATTGAACCGGCGACCTCCCAGTCACAAGCTCGCTTCTCTAATCTTTGGGCCGCCGCCCCCTCCACACTACTGCGTTTTTGTTTTAAAGCAGAAACCTTTTGCTACGTTTGCTCCTCTTTTGGCCATTTACAGGTTCTGTACTTTAACGAACTCCTCCTGTTGAGCTGTTGAGTCTAAAGGCATCGACGATGAAAAGTTGTGTTAGCTTTGAGGTTTCATCGGAGGGCGTGTCAGCGGCGTGGCGTCGAAAATCTGTGATTCACCTTGAAACAGGAAGTTGTTGTAACTTCAGTGTACATGTTCACATCTGCACCAAACTTTGCATGTTTAATAAGAGTCCCGCCCTGAACACATGTACAAGCCAATATTCAGTTATAGTCGTAGCGCCACCTACTGGCAACAGGAAAAAAGTCATGCGTGACAATCAACATTTGATTTATTTGGATCACATTGTGGATTAAGGCCGCACAATTAATCTAATCGCGATGTCGTCGTGTGCGATTTAATACCTACCGTAACCCCCCTCCCCGCCGCTGTTGTTCAAAACATAGTCGGACTCACTGGTTCCTCCTCCTGGTTGTGGATGGAGTCTCTGCAGTGGACAGATGATGCCAGTGCGCCAATATTTGCTCCTTCTCGCCGCCTCCTCGCTCTCTTAGTTCCGTTTTACCAGTTATTGTTATGAATATTGTTTCTCGTTTAACTTTGTTCAAAAACACATTTCAAAACGTCAGCAAGTAGACTCAGAGTACCATTTGTTCCATTATAATCAAATCGCAAAACGACTTTTTCTCCAAGCCCTAATTGTGGTCCAGACTTCATATACTGGTGGACGACATGTAATTAGTGGCGGCGATTTCAGCGCCGACAAAACATGGCAAAATGTTGTTTTTTTTCCCCCAACGGAAGTGGTGGTTCCCCCAAAAACCCTGTTGTGCACGCAGCGCACTGCATTTTCCTGCCTTTTAACGCCGTTGTGTTTACAAACTTGTTGATTGGGTAACACTTGGGACACGCCCACCAACTGGGAGGAAACCATAGACAGTATATTACTGGATGAAGCCACCCCGCTGATTGTGCGACGGGGTGTCACATGGATCCCTCCATGCAGGCTTTGGTCGGCTTCACTGTCCGATCTCCGGCTTACCCCCTTGACCTCGAAGCCCGTTGCACAACGTTGCAAGGAAAGATGTCGTTCAATCCGAAAACGTTGCAAACCGATGCAAAACATTTGGAGATTAAATTGCCCTGGATGTTCTCCAGAGCCAAGTAGGCATGGTTCGAATTACGGGGGAGATTGGGGGGGTTTGAGCCCCCTAATTAAGACCTCGCCTCCCCCCAAAAGGGGCAAAAACAATAGTTCAGGGAGGTCTTTCTTACCTGTAATTGTATAGATTACAATATATTTCCCATACTCATGCCTCATATTCAAGAAACTTAAAATACGATTTCAGACACCCCTAAAATGGACCGTACCATTTCCTAACTTTGACAAATAGTTGAACGTCTGCCTGCATCACACGCTGTAAGTTAATGTTAACACACTTAACTTTCCCGCCTTCAGAGTTTCGTAATTAGCATTTATTTTCCTAAATGAGCTACATGTTAGCAAGCCGAGGGGCCCACCCTGTCATTTCATTATCACCTATATCATTTCATATTTTATGTCATTTTTAACCAACACTGAGGATTAGTTATTGTAGATACACATTTATTTATTATTTCATTTTGAGTTGGCTACTTTGTGATTCTTTCTACCATCAGCATGATGTTTGTTTTCACTCTGGAATTCAGGAGTTTTACCTGGCCAGGTAAATGTTCAAATCCAGGAGGGTTATTTAAAATGTATTCACTTTTATTTATATAGCAACAATTCATTGCAAAACATTTTACATTTCACAAGAGAAAAGAATTTATTTGATAAAAAAAAAAGTTGAACCTTGAAATTAGAGATAATAATGCAGACTGGATTGTATGACCGTGTCTTTGGTTCTGGTTCAACATTGTGTGGGTCTGTTTTGAGCGGTCGTGATGGTCTGCTGTTGTGGGTCTGAAGGTCTGGAGGTTTTACTGTAGAATAGTGACCTCTACATCTTGATCTTACATTCAGCCGACGCTTTTATCCAAAGCGACTTACAATTGCTATATATGTCAGAGGTCGCACGCCTCTGGAGCAAGTTAAACTGGTGTAAGGAATTTGATTTATCTTCATCTGCACACACTAGTTAAATAAACAATGCTATTGTAAGACTTTAGTTTACTGACCCCCCCCCCCCCCCATCCTTTTTTTCTGTCCCACCCTGTTTTGTCTGTTTTTTTTGCATGCTGATGTAAAAAGAAAAACATTTTACTAACAGTTCAGTCTCATAAGATAATAACTGTACCTGACGTTGCAGACTTTAGTAAAATACGGATTAAGCAGATAAACTTGCTTGTTTTTCTTATTAAACGTTACCGTAACGAACCAACGTCAAACGAAAACATTAACCGCGCTTCCTGTGAGGAACTTCAAAATAAAACGTTAGCTAAACCACTTCGGAACAACTAATTATTTTTTTTAAATGTTTTTCTTGTAGCTGCCGATTCACTTTTTATTACACAGTTATTTAACACATATAATGTAACTTCTGAAGTTATTCTGGCAGATTTTATATGTTCATATTGAAGACAAAAGCGCCCCATTTCCGGTCGTGTTCCAGCTAACGGCGTGTAGCTTGACGGAGATGCTAACATTAGCCGCTAAAGACGCTAGCTAACACTCCGGCTCCGTAAAGGACAGCAGCTGCTCACATCTGCGTTTTTCAGTCAGAGCGGCGACATCAGCTCCTCGTGAACATGTTAAGGGCCTGAAGACACGAGTCAGAGGGAGCGTGTTTACCTGTCAGATCGTCCTCTCTTCATGCTCCTCTCCGGCAGGTGTATGAAAACACTTCCTTGATTACGTCACGCAGCCACCCCGCCCCCCGGGCGCTGAGTGGCCGATCCGCTGATGACGTAAGTCAGGGACGACGGACCAATCCAGAGCCGACATCGCTTTTTGGTTCCTGCAGGTTCTCTTCAGTTTTTAAGAAATGTTAATTTCACAGAAGAAAACTTTGTTTCTGATCATTTTATTTGGAATTAATAAATAATTAATATTGAGAACAAGTCGTGCAGCAACAAACATCACATACTTTCTGCAGCAACATTATTTTTTGTCTTATAATTACGAGTGATTTACTGTGGAAAAAGGCACCTGCTATACTTAACAAATATACAGAGATATCCTGCATTTTTGGCTGTTTTCCTTTCTGTCGTTGTGTTAAATTCAGTGTTGGGCAGGTTACTTCCAAAGTAATAAATTATAGATTACTAGTTACTGTCATTTGAGAGTAATTAGTTATATTACAATATTAGTGTCTCTGAAGTGCAATGCTTTACACTACTTTTGCGTTACTTTAGAGTTACTTTCACTGTTTTTAACTTGGGCAGTTTGCTGCTTACTTTGGTTCCATTGAAGGTTTTTCACTGGAACTACTTAGATTTACAGAAGAACTACAACACTTTTAACTGGTAATATGTATATAGCACCATTACTTTCAACAAATTGGTGTCAATATTTGCAGATATTCATGACAGATCAAAATTTTTATAAAAAATAAGGATGAGACAATAAAACATCTCGTCAGCACACAACAGGATTTTTCACTTATACCAAACGTTTAAATAAACTAGAAGCCAGGCTGATATAATACTGTACTATGAAAGTAAAATAAAGAAATCGTAGGTGATATTTCCTTAATAAAAATAATAAGTTGGCAAACTTATTAATTTTATTAAGGAAATATCACTTCCATAAAGCTTGAGGTCTCGTCCATCATTTGAAGTGAGTTGATTCATTTAATAACAATAAATGTGTCTGTACAATTAGTATTCTACAAGTATTTGTTACTTTAATACTTGTCTTTATATAATTATTTATTTTGCTGTCTCACACACATCACAATTGTCGCCCGTCCTCCTGCCATGTTCGGTATGGAGCCATGTTAGGATTTAATATAAACTTTCATTATGATGCTTTAATGTTCCAGATGTTCTCTGTCTTTGTTTGTTTAAAGTGACAATAAGAAATTAGCTGTTTTGATTTATACACAGTCAGAAAAATGCTTGTACATGTTAGACTGTGGTGCTTTATTCCCAGTACAGTGTGAAATACAAGCAGAGGTATTGAATCCATTAAACGATCGAGCTGAGAAACATTTGAAGAAGGAAGCTGCGCAAAATGAAGTCCTGAAAAAGAATCCAACATTTCTGAAGAGGTCAGGCTCTGTGGTGGTGAAGGACCCATCGGTGACGTCTGGAGTCACACATGAACTGAGGCACAAGAATTCACACTCATGATCCTGCTGCTGTCAGTGAATTCCTTTTTTAGAAATCAAAATGAATTGAGCTGTAGAAATATTGTGTGAATTATACTTCCCTGAATATTAGCAGAAAGAAAACTGTCACGTCGTTTCTGCTGAAGACTAACTAGAAAAAACAGTTTTGTGTTTGTACATAAAACAAAGTCAGTAATAAACAAATTTCATCAATAAATATTATTTTTAATGTCAATTTAAGGGTTTTATAAATGAACAAGTAAACGTCACTGATCTTTAGGACTTTAAACTCTGCAGCAGGTTTGAGTTTCTAAAGTCAGTTTTTAGATATGACGCCTTGAAACTAAACCATTAAGTATTTTTCAGCCGCTCATCACGGTTTGCACACGTTCACAGTAAAATGTCCTCTTCATATTTATGTGAATTCCAGTGGAGGTAAAAAAAAAAAACAGGTTCTCCTGCTTCATTGAAAAACTAAATGTTTTTTTTAACATTTCTTCTAATCTGTGATTTATTTCCCTTCAATATGATAAAAATATAAGAATCTGTGGAGGAAATCACTGAAGTGCCTGTGACGAGGGGAAGAAAGAGACGTTGCTTCATGTTAAAAGGAGTCACAAGTAGGGCTACAACTGATAATTATTTTCATTATGGATTAATATACAATACAATAGGTATTGTCTCAATTAATCGACTGGTAAAGATGTCGATCAGTGTTTCCCAAAGGAGATGTCCTCATATGTCTTTTGTCCACAACCCAAATTTATTCAGTTTACTGTCACAGAGGAGGAAAATATTCACATTTCAGTAGCTGGAATCAGAGAATTTAGATGTTTTTCTTTAAAAAAGCTTCAAAAGCTTCAAAATTGTTGGCGATTAATTTGACCAACTAAACGGTTCATGAACTAATGTTTGCAGCTGTAGTTGTGGACAAAAGAAGACATTTGAGGCTGTTGCTTTGGGAAACACTGATCAACTTTTTTCACAGTTGTCTGGACCCAACAACTACAACCCAACAAAAATAATTGTTAGTTGCAGCGAATCAGCTTTATTGGCCAAGTATGTGTATTCCAGCCCAAAATATATTCTAAAACCAAACTAACCAGCTCTGGTTAGGGCTGCAATGATTAGTCAATTGATTAATTGTTAACTATTAAATTATCGCCAACTATTTTGATAATCAATTAATCACTGAGTCCTTTTTTAAATCATGAACATTAAAATTCTCTGATTCCAGCTTCTCAAATGTGAATATTCTTTGCTCCTCTGTGACAATAAACTGAATATATGAATAGAAACTAGGGCTGCAAATAACAGTTATTTTCATTATCGATTAATCTGTCGATTAGTTTCTCAATTATTTGTTTGGTCCAGAAAATAGAGAAAAATGTGGATCAGTGTTTCCTAAAGCCCGAGGTGACGTCATCAAACGTCTTGTTTTGTCCACAACCCAAATTTATTCAGTTTACAGTCACAGGGAAGGAAAGATACTACAAATATTCACATTTGAGAAGCTGGAATCAGAGAATTTTAATGTTTTTCTTTATAAAAAAAACAAACAAAAAAAAGGACTTACAGTGATTAATCCATTATCAAAATACCTGGTGATTAATTTATTAATTGACAACTAATCGATTAATAGTTGCAGCTCTTGTCACAAGCAGAACAAGTTGGGAGTCGCTGGTCTGGTTAAACTGATTAGCAGTAGTGGAATGTAACCAAATACAGATTTAAAGAGGTGGTATTCTGCTAATTTTCAGGTTCCTCATCTTATTTAGAGTTTGTCCAGTAGAGTAAATTACATGAGTCTGTTTACTTTTAATGGACACATGTAACATGTTTTATACTTTCTGTGAATATAATCCTATTAATCTTATTTCCATCCTGTACAGACATCTTATTTTGAAAACCGGACGTTGTCACATGTGTTTCCTCCTCGCGCTAAATCCATCCAGTCCGACCCGGTTTGATAAATAATGTTGTAACATGAAGACTTCACAGCCTCTCTTCATACTAAAGAGACAAACTGACAGGATAAAGTCTCTAACCTGCCTGTCAGCTCGCTCTGGGCCGCTTCACTTACCGTAAAGGCTTGAATACGTGCGCACTCCAAATGTAGGCGGGGCTAGTTTCACCTCCTTCTCACAGAGGAGAGACAGAAACACTCAAAGCGGTTCTTTTCTAAGAAGTCAGCCACAGATGGAGCGGATGTGCTGGAGACAGTTCAGCAGAACAATTTTAAATGCTTCCACGCTGCCGTCATGGCAACTGAATTGTTCGGTAATTTTAATTCGGCCTTTTTGACTCAGGCCGAACACCGCTCTTTTTTTGTTTGCTATTTTCGGCCGATTAATTTCAGGGGCCGAACATTCGGTGCATCCCTAGTGTACACTTTAATCATAATATCTTCAGTGTTTCACCGTGCCGTTCTTCAACCCCCCCCAACTATCCCTTTTACTTTTAACAGTATTATTAGTCTGATATGTTTTACTGAAGTTATGGATCTGAATACTTCATCCACCGCTGCTAATTAGTTTGCTTCCTTTAAACGGAGTGCGGATCCTAACGCAGCGTCTGTCGTTCTGCTGTGAAGCTCAGAAATCAGGAAAACCAACCGTTTGAATCAACAGACATCAGACAGGAAGTGTAAAATGTTGAGATGCTTTTTTTTAATTCCCAGACTCTGTCGCTTCCTGTCCGAGGAGTTCACCCCGCCACGCACACTAATTTACCCCCAACATGCACTCACACACTCTTTCACTCGCTCACACACTCGTCATAAACAAGGTACTGGACACAACTTTGCATTTAAAGGTACACTGTGTAGTTTTAAGAAGAAATTTCAAGCTTCACGTTTAACATCTGGGATCCCTGTTCCTATTAGAGCGCGTTTATTAGAATTAATAATCTGGGTTTGATATTTAAGTCGAAATGTTCTTCCTAAAAAAAACGCACAGAACCGCAGGAAGTGGGTGTTGTTTTTTTTCGGTGACGGGGCTCCTGAAGGAAGCGGGAGGCCTCTCGTTCTCTCGTGCAGGTTTTACTCAGTGAAACAAAACAAGTCCTTCGAGTTATAAATGATCCAAATGATGAGCTCTTCTCCTCCAACCTGGAACACAGAGAGAGAAAGGAAATGAAAGTGAGACAAAAACAAACCCCGCAGGCGTCCATTAGGGCGCCACGACTCTGAAGCACAAGTTATACGTCGACGAACACTCCCTCCAAAAAATGCAACTACATGTTGTTGCAGGGCTGCACGATTACGGATAATCACCATTATTCACTGATTTTAGGGTTTAATTTAAATAAAGTGTACAAATCTTTGCATCAACATAAGGCTGATAACATGAAACTGGAGGAAAGACAGCGGCTGTGTCGCGGTTTTGTCCGGCGTCGACTCACACTGACGTGTTTCAGCAGCGGAGCGTTCAGCCTGCACGTTAACGTGTTGTTAATTTGCTATTTTGTGTGCTTCAACTTCAGAACAGCTTTCTGTAGCTCTCTGCAGGTAAACGTTACATATCCACATGGAGCATTTCAGAATAAAAGCATTTTCCTGCCTGACTTGTTCAGATTTTGCTTATTTGTTCAGCCGTCCTTGATTTTTGTGCTTACACTACGGTAAAGTAGCTACATTAGTTAAATGGTTTATTTTTTTTGTTAGTTTTAACTGTGTTTATTGTTGATGTGCGATCGGGAGTCTGCAAAGAGTGTTTTATTTTGAAAATCGACCGGATTCTCTATGCTGTTCCGTGTCTGACTTCCTGCCTGCTTCATCTGCTCTGTGCTGCTCGACACGGCTTCTGTCAAAAATAGGTTGGCAGTGAATACTGAACTTCAGCAAAACTTTAATCGCAAATTGAATCTTAATCACAATATCTGGCAGAAAAGTTGCGTTAAGATTTTCTCCCCAAATTGTTCAGTCTTAGCTTCTTCCTATGGCTTCTACTCTGCTTACCAGCAACGCGGTTTTGTCCGGGCTGCATCTCCCACAGGGAGCCTTTCAGAATCAGAGCGTTTCGCCTGATTTTGCTGACATGTTCAGATTTTGTTGATTTGGTTTCAGTGTTTGCTTTTTGTGCTTCTTCTATGACTAAGTAGACGACGACGTCTGTTCTGTGTTTTTTGTTGATTTATGATCGGGAGCATGCACGGGGCGTTTTACGCATTTTAAACGGCGATATCGCATTCGATCATGTCCATTTAAACGTGGGAAGCTAAAATCGTAATCGCGATCAATATTCGAATAAATGTGCAGCCATCTGTTGCGGCAATGCAGACAGCATGAACTGCGATTGGTCGGCTCGGTGGCATCGCATCTCCGACATGGTCCTCCTGTCTCAACCGGTTCGAGGCTCGTACACACCATCTCCTCTGACGCCTCCTCTCGTTTCTGCATTTGTGTAATTTCACTAAAACTGCTGTTGAACACTGATCAGCTCCAACATGATCTGCTCACTTTCCGTCGGCCTACACCAATGAAGAAGAAGAAACCCCCACAGTGGAGCGTAGAAACCCCACCGCCAACTACTGCTTTGGAGCTCAAGCACAAATGCTTATGACGGCACGTAGCCTACGCCATCGGCTGCGGCGTGAACTCGATGCAGAATTAGAAACTGGCCTCGACACGTCAACCACATCCAGGAGGGGGTGGAGCATCTGGTCACGGAAACGCCTCTTTTTAAAGAAAAAGGCTCCAGGATTCGATTACGCTTCATGCATCTCAGCCAAAAGCAGCAGAAGCATTCTGCACATGGCTAACTTTAGTAACATAAATGTGAACTGCTGTCTGAGAGAGAGAGAGAGGTGAACTATTTAGCAAGTAAAGTCACATTTAGAGAAAGCGCTTTAAAAAATAAGAAAAATCGGTCCATGATATAAAAAACTGCATCTGTGTCCCACCTTAGCACACGCACTTCTCCCAGAATCGCCTCTGATTAGCTGAGCTCGCCGTTATCTTCATGGCTGCGGACGTTAGCTCCAACGGCTAACGTGGTTCCTCAAATTAGTTGTGCATTTTTGTAGATTTCACCCACAGCGTGCGTTTTGTCCAGTTCGTGCATCACAGAAAGTTCATAAAATCCAAGATGTGCCCAGATATCTGCTATCAACATACCACCCGCTGGCTTCCTCTGCCACATCTCCAAACATGAAAAGCGTGTTAGCCGTTACGCTGCAACATCGCTTAACAACTTCATTATCCATCAACTATCATCGTTGGTGGGCTTTAGTGCTGCAAACTCCTGATCGTGTTCCGTCACTGCAGCGATGCAGAATCATCCACACTAGTGCTGCACCATTTGGAGAAACAGTCATATTGTGATTCGACTATAATGGAACAAATGGTACTCCGAGTCTACTTGCTTATCAAGGAAAATGCACAAAATACTGACGTTTTGAAATGTGTAAAACGATAAACAATATTTATAACAGTAACTGTCAAAATGGAACTAAGGGAGCGAGTTGCTCTACGGAGGAGGCGGCTCGGAGCAAATACTGGCCCACTGGCGTCCTGGATCTGCTGGATGGATAAATCGTGGCGGTGATGGCGCAGTGGATAAGATGTGGCCTACTATTTTACCACTAGTTGAATATTAAATCCACTTAAAGCCGTTTCATTTCTGTGGGTTTTTATTTATTCATTAAATCCTTGAGCTCTGCAGTGGTCTTTAATGTGTTGTCAATAATCATATTGTTCATCATTTGGAAGTTTACTGTAGTAGATCAAACCTTTTTAACGTTCCGCCCCATCCAGCCTGTGATTGGTTGGTTAACGAGAAAGCGAAACTTACAGCCGCGTTTCTGAAAAGTTGAACAACAAAAGGTGTTTAAACGTTAAATGGCCAGCGAGTCAAACCCAAACTTTACTTATCTTCTCCCTGTTTTCTGCTGTCTTAACGCTTCAGCTGCTGCAGCGTCTGTCTCAGAGCGACCGGCGTTTCTCTCGGTCCGACTGTGTTTTGAACGATTAGCGGCGGGGGGGTCACGGTAGGTTGTTAGTATTAAAAGTTACTGGCACACTGCTCTTAAATCATTTTTCTGATTGCACGTAGGCCTACATATGTGCAGAGCCACATGCGAGAGCGCGGTGTGGGCGGGGATAATGAGCAGACTGCAGCACGCACACACTTTTCGCGGTTATGTCATCGCACATGACGACATCGGGATTAGATTAATTGTGCAGCCCTAATCCACACCGTCATCACGACGCATCTGTGGCTCCACCCACACTCCTACGTTTTCATTTTAAATCTCAGACCTTCTGCTACGTCTCCGCCTCCCGTCCAGACTAAATCGGCGAATCCGAACACCTAAAACGTTTAAGTTTGAAACGGCGCCGACCCTGTTCTGGTTTTAAACTCCGGGGTTGTGCGTTAGTGCAGACAGGTGAAAACCATCACTCAGACGTGATTTTGTAAATTAACTTTGACTGCAGGACTACTGAAGTACTCGTTTTCGCCTGGACCCCTGTCAGTAACACGTTCTGTGAGAGACGACGCTTCCTCTAACGTTCTCTTTGTTCCTACTGAAGCATCGCCCCGACTGAAACAGCCCTCGGGCGAACTGACCTGAGTGTCATGGCTGCTCCTCGTTTCCAGCGCTGGGCGTTCGGTTTGCGGATTTGACTCCTCAGCTGTTCGATGAGTTCGGGGTTCTGCTGCTGCATCTGCTGAGCAAACTGCTGACCTCTGCGACACACAGCAAAAAACACCCGTTAACAGCCTCCCGACAACAACGCAGACAGTCACGTGTCGACGTGAAGGCTGGGAACATCAAGTGAGAACTCGCAGCTCGAAATGAACCTGCGTGGGTCTAAATCAAACTCCGCTGGGGTACGTACGCCTGGATGAGTCCTGATAAATCTCCGGTTGCAGCAGGTCCAGCAGCTGCAGCAGGTCCAGCAGCTCCAGGGGCCGCCGCACTTCCTCCTCCTAGTCCTGCTCCTAGTCCTCCTAGTCCTCCCAGTCCTCCCAGTCCCGCTCCTAGTCCTGCTCCTCCTCCTCCTGCTGCTCCT